TTGACTTAGGGTCAAAGGTCTGATCAGAGTGAAATATAAGTTGGCTAACACAATTTAATTTTGGTATTGTCGTGACAGAATAGATAATCGCTCTTTGCGTCACAAACCAATAAATCTGTAGATCACGAACAAAACATGCTGGGTACAATAACTGTTACTTGATTGTCATGTCACGCACTACAACCAGGCTATCCTCAAATGCCATGACACACTACGGCTTAGCTAAGCCGTTCTTGTCGCTGAATCATTCTATAATTATGAAAATTGCCATTCACGCCATGAATGCGTAGTTATCTCCAAAGAGAAAATTGTGCAAAAGAGTCCTAAATTTACGTAGCACTCCTAACGCGCAAGCCGCGCGGATCCTCGCGCCTGTTTTCATTTTAATTGTTAACTTCAATTAATTTCACGCTCGAAGCCAAACACCTCGCTTTCACTTGCTAATTGAGCCCTCTCGCTTTACTTTGACAAGCCTATGGATCATTTTACGCATCCCTGGTGAGAATTCTTTTCTTGAGCAAAGCTCGTCATGCCACTCAGTTTAAGATACGGTTGACTAAGGCAGCCGTAATCTTCACAGGAACGTGACTAAGAAGTAGACTGAACTTTCTTTCTATGTACCGTTGTTATGGACGTAAAATGATCTGTTTTAGAGAAAGAAGTGGTAGTAAAATATTCTTTGAATCTCCATTTTTGGAAGAAAGAAATTAGCTTCAAGGACGTCTTTCCCAAATCAGTAATGATGTTTTAAAGATGGTTGTTCTTCATACTTCACTTTTATAATTTTGGAAAATTGCGTGATGTATGTTCTTCGGTTTGAGACAGTTGTTTACGCCGGAATCTCCACAGGAAACCTGATTCAGAATTAATTCATTCTTTGTGAACAGCTGGAGTTGAGAAAACATGTTCAGGTCTTTTGCTTCAAATCGACCGAGCCTCCCTTTATGTACCACTTTTCATAAACACAAGATGACCTATACTAGAAAAAGAGGCCGGCACTTGATAGGGAGCATTTTATGCCCATTTGAGATTTTATGGATTTCAAAAGAGGTGTGAGGTCTTCCACCCGGTTTTTTTAATTAAAACACATGGTGCTATGAACTTTGCAAATTTCAATCACTTTAATAGAGGATGTCAGCATCCATCGCACAAATTTGAAATATTGTGGCAAACCGCCCAAGATTTGATTTCACTCCTACTTTCACATTTTGGAGCCCAGTATGTCCTAATAATTGTGGTGTAGTTTTTTTGTGAAAATATATTTCGGTTTTCGAGAAATGATTTTTCGTTCTACCGCTCAAATATGCAAATTTTCACCGTGACTATTACCCGAGTTGCGTGACCTCATGTAAAGAATAAACTTGACCTCCGTTATTTCTGTCAACATAATCCTTTGTTTTATCACCTAAACTTAATCCCCTGTCACGCTGGCAAAGAAATATTTATTTTTTGGTAAATATTTTTGTCCGACTTTTCCCATGTCGAAAAGTAACATCAAAACAAAGGCAGTTTTAATAATGACCGATATGACGGAATCTACTGAGCTTCGAGCTTTTAAAAGACAAAAGGATGGTTAAATGGTTACTGTAAAAATTTCCTTGTGTATTGGTGTTGTTCTATGTTGAGACGAACTCAAAGTCCGGCAAAATTTACTTGCTTGCGACTATGAAATATGCATGGTGTGTCTACTTATCGCCACCGTTTACTGTTATAAATCACTACAATTTGTGGGGAAGAAGGCGATCAGAAATGGATAAGGATGCTTCTCGTACCTTTAAGGGTAAAAAAAAACCAGAGACCTAAGTGGTACGTTTTAAGGTGTTTTTCGCTCAATATAATACCTGAAATAAGCATTACTAGGACGATTTTAATGATCTGACTTGAGCCTCTAGAGCACATCGATCAAGGAATTTTTATTTTTGGGATTTTTCAATTGTTTGCTTTTGAATTGTTACTTTTTATGGATAGACATCAATTGTTGCCACTCCCACTCAGATAAGACTCAAGTACCTATATAACTTTATAGAGGTCGTTTTCGAAATTCTCGGCGCGCACCCCCGCCCTTTTAAGTAAATGTATTCCCCGGGGGTATAGCATAGTAGCTTGTGCGGAAGGGCCCTTTACCACCGTGTGCATAATTACGCGTCCCGCCAAACGGCGGGAAGCCAACAAAGTCTTCAGAAATTAGTATATTTTTGGTAGCCTATTGACCAATTCCCAACCGAGACATTTCTGACCAAATCCGCTAGCAGATATCGACCCCCCGGTCCAAATCCGCTAGCGCATTTGGACCCTCCTCCGCGGATTTGGACCCCCCAACAAAACTGAGTGAAAACATCATCCTTAACGTTCTAGTAAAAATGGATGATACTTTACGTTCCAATACGTACTAAAGTATGTTTTTAATTCAAAACATGCGTATCGTTAATGCATACGAACTGGCATCCCGTCGGATGTTTCTTTTGACCAAGGGAAAATGGGCAAGAATTTAGTTTAATGTCTGGAGAGAGGTCGTTTTGAACCTTTTCCGCGATAGTCGAACACCGCTAGATTCAATGAGAGACAAACTTGTGACACTAATTTATTTTGTCATTGTTCAATGCTCGAGTGTTGGGACGACATGGTACAGTGCGAGTTGTGCGAGGAAAGGTTACACATGAGCTGCGAGGGATTTAAGACTGCCCCGGAGGACGAGTGGCTCTGCATTGTCTGCAGATTGCCAGACTCTAGACGTCTTCGTAATTGTTAAGGTGTTATTTAGGATCCCTCAACAGTTAATAATCGTTAAAATTAGAAAATAAGATTGAGTTCGATTTAATAGTCTCCACTTTTGTTAAGACGTTGACATTAATGTTGATTTGCATCTGAAATAAGCTGAGAGTTCCAATAGTTCAGAATAGAAACATTTTTACTTATCATAGGCTTTACGAACGACTTGTAATACGAGTAGTTTCTTCGTTCTTATTCAAAAACTGTTCAATGTTATTATTTTAGAAAATGAGACTGAGTTATTTCAGTGACTGGACGCAATAGTCTCCACTATTGTTATGACGTTTCGTACCAATGTTGATTCGCATCAGAAGAAGCAAAGATTTATTGTAACAATTTCAATGGTTCGAATGCATTAGTTTGTTCACATCATAATTCTTGCGTATACTGTTCGACTCGCTATAATGGATGCGGTAGAATTGGAACGAAATGGCTGGGTTTTTTTTTACCTTTATTGAGGAAATGTTGTGTTGTGATTGAAAAGAACATCGACAAAAAAGCTTGCAAATAGAATTAGTTACCAAATATGACACAAAGGATGCTTAAAAGGAAAGTTTGGTTGGGGGGTCCAAATCTGCGAAGGGGGGGTCCAAATCCGCTGTGACACCGGCAAGCGACAAAATAAGACCAACTTCATTTTCTGGATCTGAAAACTTTCAACTCCGCAAGTGACTTGAAATGTCGTTTTTACAACTATGCAAGGGAACGACTTGAGATATGCAACTTCGGTCTTCTCGATAACTAAACCCAAAAATTCCACCAGCGAACAATTTAAACGAACAATAAATCTCCATGTTCGCATGCAAGATGAGACGCTTACACAACAGATAATTACCTAGATCAGTATGTAGCTTGTCAATCAAATTGACTTTTGTAACCATTAGTGGTGGTTTCGGGCCTTACGGAAGGTAAAAGTCTTGGGTTTGGTTAAGCTCAGGTTTCGTGTTACCCTTGGGGATACGGTTACACAGTAAGACTCCCCTAATGGCTAATTTCGCGCCTTCTTCGGTGTCTTCACGCAAAAAACTGCTGGACTGTTATATTTATGGAGGACTGTCGTATAATAGGCAGGAGAATCACTGAAATTTGGCTTAGTAGATCTCAATTCGTAACATCCATGTTGCTCTGTACTTTTCCTGCCAATTTGTCAGGTCAGTGAACTCATATGTAATTATATTTGACCCTGAGGGGAGTCTTTTATTGTATAACCGCATCCCCAAGGGTAACACGAAACCTGTTATTGTATAACCGCATCCCCAAGGGTAATTATCTGTAACACTTGCAAACATGGACATTTATTGTTCGTTTAAATTGTTCGCTGTTAACCAAACTCAAGCCATTTACCCTCCGTAAGGCCCCAAACCCAAGGTGTGTGTAACCACGGCCATTGCCAGCTTCAGTAATGACAGGGGATTAAGTTAAGATGATAAAACACAGGATTATGTTGAGAGAAATACCGGAGGTCAAGTATATTCGTTACATCAGGTCACACAACTCGGTAATATTCACGGTGAAAATTTGCATATTTGAGCGTTAGAAGGAAAAAAATAATTCATGAGGGGACACAAGTGGCCTCAACTGTAAGTACTTTTTAGAAATTTTAGGATATTATCCTAGCATTCCTAACATTCCGAGCTGCGCGAGAGTGTCAAAATCCGTGCGTATGTCAGAAATGTCACTAGACCTAAAGTACGCCAGACGAGGGCGAATAAATATGAGAAGATAAATGAATAAATGCCTGATATCAAAATGTCATCAGCTAATGTTTTTGTTTCACACGCAATCAATAGTGCCTATATTCCTCGGCCGGTTCCTTTGCTTTACATTGTAGATTATAAAGAGAAATATATCCACACGATTTATTTGCACTTATCTGGCGTACTTAAGGTCTAGTGACATTTCTGTGACATACGCACGGATTTTGACACTCTCGCGCAGCTCGGAATTTTAGGAATGCTAGGATAATATCCTTACATTTCTAAAAAGTACTTACAGTTGAGGCCACTTGCGTCCCCTCATGCTAGAAAACAAAAATATATTTTTACAAAAAAACCAAACCACAATTATTAGGACATATTGGGCTACAAAATATGAATGTCGGAGTGAAAGTAGATTTTGGGTGACTTGCCGCTGTTTGTCTGATGGATGCTGACATGAGTTCTTAAAGCATTCCCAATGTAGATCGCTGGCTTGCATCTGAAATAAGGTATCCTCTTTTTTTACATTACCAGGGTGATCGATACCTGATATTCGACTGCTTGCTGCTCCAGAGTAAACTGACATGAAGGTAATAAAACGTAAAGCTGTTTTGCATATGTGATCTGAATTTAGAGTGATGCTCCTTTGCTCCAAACACGCCTTCATGAATACGTCACCTAAATGAAGAGTTAAAAACAGCAGAACAAGACAAAACACATCAAAACAAACCAAAGGCGGAAAACAAACTTTGCACAATATTACGGGAGGTATTTTACCGTTGGCCTCACTTTTTTCTTTAGAAAAAGCAATACACTGAGACAAGAGTGAGACATTTGGCGACAAAATGGCTGGCAATGGTTCTGGTGATATCTAAAAAGCTCAATACACGGACATCCGATGAAAAAAAAAAAGGAATTCGAAAGAGTGAATATTACTGTGCTCAAGAGCTGTTCTCCCGTTAACCTCAAATTAGAGAAGACTTGGCTTTAATCATCAAGCCACAGGAATATATACATCGAATAGTGATAGGAGTGGCCCACATTGTACTCAGTTTATGCCTGAAACTTTAACCGGCTAAGCTTTGGGATTTTCTGTTTAAGTCTAAAAAAATTGAGAGCAAACGGATCGAAAAGGCCATTTGTTAATGTTTTATACAATCAAACGTAAGTTTGTGATAAGGTGTATATGAGTCCCATGTGCTTTTATGACGTATTTTGATGTGATAACCACTTTGCAGTAAAATTAGAGGAGCCAACAAGCGTGGTTTGAAATTGTCATCACTTAACCGGAAATTGACAAATTCAGTTGACGCCTCCATCTTTCAGTAAGTGTCCAATAATAATGTATTTATTTCAGTTATTTTTGATTACCAACTAAAAACTACCAAGATTACACAAATGAAATGGACGTGTGTATGAGAGTTTATTATATCGCTGGCAGAGCCCCTAGGCAATATGAGGCGAATGTTGTGTTCTAATCGCCCACCTGATCGGACCCATCTTGCCCGCAGGGAATTTCCCATTTTGATTCAGCGCACGAAAAAAATTACTAAGACAAGCAAGTTTCTTTATGTTTGGACAATACCGGCGATAAGGTCGCAAAAAGCGGCAAAAGACAGTAGAAAAACAAGATAACATAAATGATAAACTTAAACGATTCGTAGGTTTATTTGGTACAAACATAGGGGGCTTCCTTTCCAGTCTTCCGAAATGAATGAGTGTTGATTCTTTATAAAGCGATGATCTTTTTCTTGTCTCATAAATGCGTTATTGACTATGCTTGTTTGGTCTAGATGGCTGGATATTAGCCTCATTCTTTTTTCCGTGTTATTGACCTCGACTTAGTCTCGTCCATGAAAACGCAAGAAAGGAACCCGGCCAATATCTAGCCCTCGTGACCTCAGGCCATTTTAATAACGCATATATAGGATAAACTAATAAGATTACCGTTTTTCATTGATACTAATTTTAAAAATAATTTTATTTTCCCGAAGGGATGCCTCAGCCACAAATTGTTTTCCTATTAGTGATGTTATTTGGGGTACAATGCTTAGGTATGTTGACACTTTATTCTTATCGCCTACACATAATGTGTTACAAGTCTTATCAGATGCCTAAGCTGAGAAAACTCTTTAAGATGGCCAATTTACGTTATAAACTAAGTTTATATGAAAAATTGCGGGTTGTGTGTGAGTTTATATGCAGAAAATGGAACTAAGCTATTGGTGGGAACATGGTGACAAGAAAAACAAGAATAAATTAGGTCAATGAAGAGCGTTCGCTGATACCGTGGTAATTAAGAGTGAACACATGGCAGTCTGCGACCTTCCTTACAACTAAGCAGTTTCGAAAGCCGCAAAACTCTTAAACAATTATTTATCTTTCAAATCGAAACTCTTAATACCCACGGTATCAACGAATGCTCTTCATTCAACTAATGTATTCTTGTTTATCCATTTTCTGCATATAAACACAGACACAGCCCACAATTCCTCCATTCGCTGTGAAGAAGGGCTAGCGCTCGAAAGTCAGCTTTGAAAGTCTTTGCGGTGGCCAATTTACTTTGTCAACTCACTTGATAAAGCCAAAATTGTCATGTTATACTCCCTCACCGACACGGCAACACAGTTTCTTTGGAAACTGAACCCCTTTATCAAATGATAAATAGCATGGTTTCTGCAGGGCATTTGGGAAAACTTCCAACTAAATATCACTCGCAGCTTCGCCGTTGGTGATATGAGTGTTGAACGCCCCTGATTTTCAATTTTCACTAAAAAGTAACGTAACGTCAGTCACAGTCCACAGCAAGTTATCAATATCGGTCCAATTAGAAAGAAATTCAATACCAGCAAGATTTCCCCTAGTAACACCCTAGAAATATAGTGCTCAGGAACCTTAACTGTTGCACTCTGCAAATACAATTATAATTTATTTATCGCTGACAAGAATTCTCTGCCCTTATTTCAAATAAATGACTACTGCAATAACTGAAATTCCTGATAATGAACGTCTCTGAACGAATCAGGTGGAAATAATTTATTCAAAAATGTAAAAATTTTAGATTAGAGTGAGGTAAGTTCAACTTTGAAAATTATTGTTTTTACTAATAATTATCTCATTTTCTTCCTCTTCCTGTGGAAATCTATAAACAAATAAGGAAGTAATTGTCCTAATTATTTTATTCACTGTTAGTTAGGAATGCATGCGCGTGGCTTTTTCCTTTCAGTAGATGGTAGTTCTGACGTTAATTACTGACGAAGTTGATTAAAAATTCAAATGATGTATATAATTCATGCGGATTAATGCTCTTATAAAAATCAGGGACAGTCCTTCATCAAGGAATCTGCTCTATGAACAAACAGATTGAAACAACTTCCCAGATGATTCTTTTCTTCATTAAAAAGTTTCATATTTTTTCCTTTGTACGTGTCTACCTGCTGTTATCCCATGTTTGATAGGAATGATCTTATTATCTTCATATGAATGTTTTTATCAAACTCACTGAGACAGTACTTTTATTAGTAAATCTAAGCTTTGACCGAATCATAACTTTTAAGATGACTCTTTTCTTATATTGATAACTTGAATCTTCTTACTTTTATCAAGAATATTATCAAAGATTCTCCTAACTCTTCAAAAAAGAATAAATAAAATTAACTTTTCAGATGATAACTTTCTTTTAATAATTAATAATATCCTTTTACTTTTCATGTGGATTTTGTGGAACGAATCAGTTGGTAAGTGTCTTCATACTTTACAGAATGATTAATAAGAAATTGCCTTGTTCCTTTTCATGAGGACATGGTGCAATAACTACCGTATATGCAGTATCGATCAAGTCCAAAGACGTCCTCATAATTGATCAATCCTATAAACTTATCACGCCCATGAGAGCCCACCAAAAAGGACAGATTTTCAGTGATTTTAAAATAATACCATTACTAATATAAAAAATGACTTTTCTTCACATTATATTTATTATTATCATTTAAGTTCTGTATCAGGGATTCTACTAACTCTTGAATATCAGAATGAATAAAATTAACTGTTCAGATGAATACTTTCTTTTAACAAATAATACTATCTCTTTACTTTTCATGTGGATGTTGTGGAAAGAATCAGCTCGTAAGTATCTTCATGCTTCATGGTTAATGAGAATGTGACTTGTTCCTTTTCATGAGGATATGGTGCAGTAACTACCGTAATATGCATTATTGATTAAGTTCTAATAACATCCCCATAATTAATCCATCTTATGATGTTCATCGTGTCCATGAGAGCCAATCAGATAACATGGATCACCAGAGATTTTAAAATACTATCCTTGTCGATATAATAAAAATGAGCTTTCTTCACATAATATCACGTTATATTTATTATTATCATTTAAGTCCATGATATATTCTTTGGTGCAAGAAAGTGACCACTTTAATCATACAAAAAGAGCCTGATTTCCTTTCCTTTCCAGTATCTTCATACTTTACGAAATGGCTAACGAGAACTTGGCTTGTTCTTTTTGATGAGGATATGGAGAAATAAGTACCGTTATATGCAGTATCGATCAATTCTAAAGACATCCTCATAATTAATTAATCCTATAAACTTACCACGCCCATGAGAGCCCACCAAAAAGGACATATCATCAGTGCTTTCAAAATAATACCATTATTAATATAAGAAAATTGACTTTTCTTCACATTATATTTATTATTATCATTTAAGTACTGTATCAAGGATTCTGCTAACTCTTGAATATCAGAATGAATAAAATTACCTGTTCAGATGAATACTTTCTTTTAACAAATAATACTATCTCTTTACTTTTCATGTGGATGTTGTGGAACGAATCAGCTCGTAAGTATCTTCATGCTTCATGGTTAATGAGAATGTGACTTGTTCCTTTTCATGAGGATATGGTGCAGTAACTACCGTAATATGCATTATTGATTAAGTTCTAATAACATCCCCATAATTAATCCATCTTATGATGTTCATCGTGTCCATGAGAGCCAATCAGATAACATGGATCACCAGAGATTTTAAAATACTATCCTTGTCGATATAATAAAAATGAGCTTTCTTCACATAATATCACGTTATATTTATTATTATCATTTAAGTCCATGATATATTCTTTGGTGCGAGAAAGTGACCACTTTAATCATACAAAAAGAGCCTGATTTCCTTTCCTTTCCAGTATCTTCATACTTTACGAAATGGCTAACGAGAACTTGGCTTGTTCTTTTTGATGAGGATATGGAGAAATAAGTACCGTTATATGCAGTATCGATCAGTTCTAAAGACATCCTCATAATTTGTCAATCCTATAAACCTACCACGCCCATGAGAGCCCACCAAAAAGGACATATTATCAGTGCTTTCAAAATAATACCATTATTAATATAAGAAAATTGACTTTTCTTCACATTATATTTATTATTATCATTTAAGTACTGTATCAAGGATTCTGCTAACTCTTGAATATCAGAATGAATAAAATTACCTGTTCAGATGAATACTTTCTTTTAACAAATAATACTATCTCTTTACTTTTCATGTGGATGTTGTGGAACGAATCAGCTCGTAAGTATCTTCATGCTTCATGGTTAATGAGAATGTGACTTGTTCCTTTTCATGAGGATATGGTGCAGTAACTACCGTAATATGCATTATTGATTAAGTTCTAATAACATCCCCATAATTAATCCATCTTATGATGTTCATCGTGTCCATGAGAGCCAATCAGATAACATGGATCACCAGAGATTTTAAAATACTATCCTTGTCGATATAATAAAAATGAGCTTTCTTCACATAATATCACGTTATATTTATTATTATCATTTAAGTCCATGATATATTCTTTGGTGCGAGAAAGTGACCACTTTAATCATACAAAAAGAGCCTGATTTCCTTTCCTTTCCAGTATCTTCATACTTTACGAAATGGCTAACGAGAACTTGGCTTGTTCTTTTTGATGAGGATATGGAGAAATAAGTACCGTTATATGCGGTATCGATCAATATCAATTCTAAAGACATCCTCATAATTTATCAATCCTATAAACTTACCACGCCCATGAGAGCCCACCAAAAAGGACATATCATCAGTGATTTCAAAATAATACCATTATTAATATAAGAAAATTGACTTTTCTTCACATTATATTTATTATTATCATTTAAGTACTGTATCAAGGATTCTGCTAACTCTTGAATATCAGAATGAATAAAATTACCTGTTCAGATGAATACTTTCTTTTAACAAATAATACTATCTCTTTACTTTTCATGTGGATGTTGTGGAACGAATCAGCTCGTAAGTATCTTCATGCTTCATGGTTAATGAGAATGTGACTTGTTCCTTTTCATGAGGATATGGTGCAGTAACTACCGTAATATGCATTATTGATTAAGTTCTAATAACATCCCCATAATTAATCCATCTTATGATGTTCATCGTGTCCATGAGAGCCAATCAGATAACATGGATCACCAGAGATTTTAAAATACTATCCTTGTCGATATAATAAAAATGAGCTTTCTTCACATAATATCACGTTATATTTATTATTATCATTTAAGTCCATGATATATTCTTTGGTGCGAGAAAGTGACCACTTTAATCATACAAAAAGAGCCTGATTTCCTTTCCTTTCCAGTATCTTCATACTTTACGAAATGGCTAACGAGAACTTGGCTTGTTCTTTTTGATGAGGATATGGAGAAATAAGTACCGTTATATGCAGTATCGATCAATTCTAAAGACATCCTCATAATTTATCAATCCTATAAACTTACCACGCCCATGAGAGCCCACCAAAAAGGACAGATCATCAGTGATTTCAAAATAATACCATTATTAATATAAGAAAATTGACTTTTCTTCACATTATATTTATTATTATCATTTAAGGCCTGTATCAAGGATTCTGCTAACTCTTGAATATCAGAATGAATAAAATTAACTGTTCAGATGAATACTTTCTTTTAACAAATAATACTATCTCTTTACTTTTCATGTGGATGTTGTGGAACGAATCAGCTCGTAAGTATCTTCATGCTTCATGGTTAATGAGAATGTGACTTGTTCCTTTTCATGAGGATATGGTGCAGTAACTACCGTAATATGCATTATTGATTAAGTTCTAATAACATCCCCATAATTAATCCATCTTATGATGTTCATCGTGTCCATGAGAGCCAATCAGATAACATGGATCACCAGAGATTTTAAAATACTATCCTTGTCGATATAATAAAAATGAGCTTTCTTCACATAATATCACGTTATATTTATTATTATCATTTAAGTCCATGATATATTCTTTGGTGCGAGAAAGTGACCACTTTAATCATACAAAAAGAGCCTGATTTCCTTTCCTTTCCAGTATCTTCATACTTTACGAAATGGTTAACGAGAACTTGGCTTGTTCTTTTTGATGAGGATATGGAGAAATAAGTACCGTTATATGCGGTATCGATCACGTCTAAAGACGTCCTTATAATTTATCAATCCTATAAACTCACCACGCCCATGAGAGCCAACTAAAAAGGACAGATCATCAGTGATTTTAAAATAATACCATTATTAATATAAGAAAATTGACTTTTCTTCACATTATATTTATTATTATCATTTAAGGCCTGTATCAAGGATTCTGCTAACTCTTGAATATCAGAATGAATAAAATTAACTGTTCAGATGAATACTTTCTTTTAACGAATAATACTATCTCTTTACTTTTCATGTGGATGTTGTGGAACGAATCAGCTCGTAAGTATCTTCATGCTTCATGGTTAATGAGAATGTGACTTGTTCCTTTTCATGAGGATATGGTGCAGTAACTACCGTAATATGCATTATTGATTAAGTTCTAATAACATCCCCATAATTAATCCATCTTATGATGTTCATTGTGTCCATGAGAGCCAATCAGATAACATGGATCACCAGAGATTTTAAAATACTATCCTTGTCGATATAATAAAAATGAGCTTTCTTCACATAATATCACGTTATATTTATTATTATCATTTAAGTCCATGATATATTCTTTGGTGCGAGAAAGTGACCACTTTAATCATACAAAAAGAGCCTGATTTCCTTTCCTTTCCAGTATCTTCATACTTTACGAAATGGCTAACGAGAACTTGGCTTGTTCTTTTTGATGAGGATATGGAGAAATAAGTACCGTTATATGCGGTATCGATCACGTCTGAAGACTTCCTTATAATTAATCAATCCTATAAACTCACCACGCCCATGAGAGCCCACCAAAAAGGACAGATCATCAGTGATTTCAAAATAATACCATTATTAATATAAGAAAATTGACTTTTCTTCACATTATATTTATTATTATCATTTAAGGCCTGTATCAAGGATTCTGCTAACTCTTGAATATCAGAATGAATAAAATTACCTGTTCAGATGAATACTTTCTTTTAACAAATAATACTATCTCTTTACTTTTCATGTGGATGTTGTGGAACGAATCAGCTCGTAAGTATCTTCATGCTTAATGGTTAATGAGAATGTGACTTGTTCCTTTCATAAGGATATGGTGCAGCAACTACCGTAATATGCGGTGTTGGTTAAGTTCTAATCACATCCTCTTTACTAATCCATCTTATGATGTTCATCACGCCCATGAGAGCCAATCAGATGGCATGGATCCCCAGTGACTTCAAAATGCTATCATTATTGATATAAGAAAATGACCTTTTCTTTACACTATATCACATTATGTTTATTATTATCATTTAAGTCCTCGATATATTCTTTGGTGCGCGAAAGTGACAACTTTAATCATAGCAAAAGAACCTAATCTCCTTTCATATTAATGCTCTATTACTGGAATGAAGTCGGCTTAAAATATCAGCCTGGCTGTTTTGATGATTGATATTTATTGTTGACATGATATTTAATGAGCATCCCAGAGAATAGTGAATTCATTTTACTTTTAAAAGGTTGTTAGTTTTTTTAATTGAATCTCCTCTATCAAGGATTCTGCTAACTCTACAATGTGAAAATGAATTAAATTTATCCCTCAGATAATAACTTTCTTTTCTCAATGAATACTATCCTTTTACTTTTCGTGTGGATTTTGTGAAAAACACGCGAAAAAGACAACTTAAATGATACAAAAATAACCTGATTTACTTTCATGTTAATGCTACCTGAAGGAACGGAATTAGTTCAAAATATCAGCCCGGCTATTCTGATGATTTACATTAATTGTCGACATGATATTTTATGAGCATCCCGGAGAATGGTGAATTCATTTACTTCCAAAAGGTTGCTTTTCAATTGAATTTTCTTACTTTTATTGAGTTTTCTATCAAGGATTCTGCGAACACTTTATTTTGAGAACGAATAAAATTAACTATTTAGATGATTGCTTTCCTTTAACAATTAATACTATCCTTTTACTTTTCATGTAAATTTTGTGGAACGAATCAGGTGGTAAGCGTCTTGATACATTACATGATGATTAATGAGAGCTTGGCTCGTTCCTTTTCATGAGGATATGGTGCAATAAGAACTGTTATATGCAGTATCCATAAATTTCTGATAACATCCTTATAATTCACCAATCCTATAAAGTTATCATGTCCATGAGAGCAGATCAGAAGGGACGGATCATTAGTGATTTTAAAATACTATCATTATTGATATAAGAAAAATTCCTTTTCTTCACACTATATCATATTATATTTATTATTAATATTTAAGTCCTCTAAAAAAAAAAGGCTTAAATTGTCTTTACATGCATCACAATCATCATTCTTTCACCTTTTACACCCTAACATCCTTATGCGTATTCTCCATAGCACGCAAGTGAGCGTGGAAAATACCAGCCAGAAGTTACAATGGTTATAACTCATGAATTATTTGAGTTATTTTAATTTGATTTAGTCAAAAAACTTGAATGAACGGGCAATGTTTTGTGCATGCAATTTGCAATGTTGGCAGGCAGTTCTTCTATTTAGAGTCACTTTAACTTGTCAAACATTTAAAGTTCTGATATAAATATAGTTCATGGTGGCTGGTCATCCTGGGGGTCATGGGAGAGGTGCAGCCTAACTTGTGGTGGTGGATCGCAGAGCCGAGTGCGCAGCTGTACAAATCCTCCCCCAAGGTGGGGCGGAAGGTGGTGCCATGGACTTAGTAGCATAAGCCAGTCTTGCAACACAAATCATTGTCCAGGTGAGAGTGTGTATTCGGTGTTAAACCAACAATCTTTTATCATTTTTATTATTAATTTTGCTGGTTCCAGGTGCTCCATGCACCTATAATTTCGTTTACATAGATTTTTAGATATCAATGTTTAGTAGATGCAAGGTTTTTACCATACGCTGCTATTTAGATGTGGCAAAGTTCTGCCTTATCTTTATCTTCTTTGTTCAAAAGGTTGAATGAATCAGCATTATATACGCATGCAATTTGCAATATCAATGCAGATATCAAGTTTAGAAGCTGTAAGGTTTCTACCATATGCTGGTATTAAGATTCTGTAAAGTTTCTTTTATTCGTTATTCTTATTTGAAACGGTCAAAATGTTGAATGAATTAGCAATATATATGCATGCAATTTGCAATATCTGCAGGCAGTTCTTCATTTTATGACATATTTAACTTGTTAACCATGTTAACTTCTGATACAATGATAGTTGATGGTGGCTTGTCATCCTGAGGAGCATGGGAGAGCTGCAATGTAACTAGTGGGGGTGGATTACAAGGATGAGTTTTAAAGTTGTTTCTTAACGGCTTTTTCTTGAAACATTGTTAGTCAATGGTGGTTGGAGTGAGTGGAGTTCCTGGAGTATCTGCACCAAAACAGTCAGTGGCATACAGATAAAGTTTAGAGAATGTTCCAATCCAGAACCAGCATACGGCGGGGAACATTGTAATGGGAGCAGAGTACTTGTAAGGGAATGTAACAAAATGTCCAGCTGCCACGAAGGTAACGTACAGATTGTAAAATCAGTGCGCCCGAGTTTTAATTACATAGGGTAACATTAATTGAAATACAGACATCATAAATGGTCCGTAGTCTAATCATAGTTGAACCCCATATTAAAAAGGTTAAGTCCTGTCAAAAGCCTTTGTCGTTTAATCTACATCTTAATAAATTGACCTTGTCCAAAATTAGCATTAGCATTACATCGCAGCTGGAATAAAGTTATTTTTATTACTATTATCATTTTCTCACTCATTATTATCATCAGGATCATCATCGTTATCGTTATTATTATCATACAATCCCTATTATTATTATCGCAAATGTTTATGTTACTTTAGTATCATCATTTATATTGTTATTATTCTCATTAAAGTGTTCACTGTTGTCATCCATAGGCATTTAGTGCTAAATTTCTTGTCAATCACAACTGAAATATTTAGTTTCTTGATAGAATAGTATGGGATGTCTTATGTGAGCAGTATCAATTAACCATTTAATTTGGGGCTGATGATTATGTTTGTAACACACCTAGAATTGGTAAACATTTGAAACTAAGTACATATTTGGGGCAATCATCAGCAAAATAATTAAAATTTGTAGAATCTTTAAGAGGGCCTCTCAAGATATACATATACTTTTGCATTATTTCTTTCATCAGTATTTCCACTACGCTTTAGAACGGAGAGCAACCCATCGCTTGGTACAATGGAAATCCATACAAACAGCAGCTGGAAAAAGCTTTGCACCAGTACGTGGAATAAAGTTGAAGTAGATTTGACATGCATGGCAATGGGATACTCTAACAGCAGTGATTATGGTAGATGGTTTGAAGACAGTGGCAATGTATCAGAGACATCTACCAATTTCAACTGCACCACCACTTTGACTAAATGTGAAGAAAGCTTCTCAAACAAACTGCAACTCTGCAAAGGTATTAACCAATTATGCATTTTGGAATCTGTTGTCAGATCTCTTTCAATCTTCTCTTTTGTACATCCTATTCTAGGTACCCTTATAGACTTGATCATAATTCGAGCGGTAGACCTCGCCAAAACATCCCTTCTTGCTTGGGTAATTGATTATGTACTAGTGTTTCCTCGAAGACTGCTCTCTAAAAAATATGACATATATTGACAATTAGGTTGTTTTCGAGAATTAGTTTAAATCGTTGAAGGCGTAAAAAATGCCCAAAAATGATACCTGAACAGCTGCCCATCAAAGAACCCGTACAACCGAATTGGATTTCTGATCCTGTATGAACACCTTGAACTTTTAAATTTCTTCATAATCCTACTGTCTCCTTCCTTCCCTTATCCATATTTCTTCCTTTTATTAATTCACTGTTAACTTACCTTCATTAATTGCTTAATATTTTGTGACTTTATAAGTTCCCGTTCGCTTGAGTGGTGCAAATGTAGAGTATGGTGGTAGAGTGGAAGTATTTTACAAAGGGAAATGGGGAAAAATTTGTACCAATGGATGGGATTTCAATGATGCCCAAGTTATTTGTCGCCAACTTGGCTTTGAAGAGGCTCTTGCTGAATTTTTTGGCTCCAACGTAGAGGATGGAAACACTACTTCTGTAATGGCGGATGTTTCCTGCACTGGAGCAGAGGATGAACTTGCATCTTGCACTCGCAGTGATGGAAAGTTAAATGTCCCCGGTCAATGTCAAGGAGATGGCAAAGGTTCCCAAGCACTGTGTCAACCAAGTAAGTAAGGCATTAATAACGCCGAGATGGAAATTCCTAAAGGTAACTGGTCCTCGTGAATAGTCACGTGTTTACAGTTAAACATGAAAGATCAAGATACCAATAGTTTTGAAACTAATACCGAATACCGAGATAGAATGAACTGATTATTGTGCGACATGAAAATATTTCTTTCAGAGAACAGAAAGGTATGTGGAAAAGAGAAACTTCACTTTGATGTCGGCAACAATGAAATCCTTCACTGCTCAATACGTAACAAAACCAGGTTTGCGAGATGGTTCATTAATGGTCAAAAGGTGCAAAGGAACACTTCTTCTTCCAAGAGGGTCAAGACCAAAGGAGATGGTGAACTGGTCATAGAAAATGTGCAGTTGTCTGATGGAGGAACATATGAATGCCTCATAGAGGAATATGTTCAGTATTACACGGTCTACATCAATGGTAGGAAAATCCTTTTCAACGCATTTAGAAGACCTTAATTGCCTCATTGTAGAATAGGTTAACATAAAAGTAAATGTGCCCGGCACACACAATAGGAGCACACAATACAGAGTAGTTAGCATTTCTTCAATGCAGCTTCGGTTAGTGGTTTTTTTCGTCATGTATTCCAACAGCAAGATTCACTGAGAACACTCGTGACCAGCAGAGCCTTATTGCTTACACATCTGGTATTATAAACTGTAGTGCTGAAGGAACACCACTTCCACAGATAACATGGGGGAAACAAGGAGAAAAGTTAGTACCTAATGGAAGAAGATTCGCTCAAATTCCTAGCGGCAGTCTACACATTGATCTTGTTCATCCTGAAGACGGTGGCACATACAGATGTACCATAACACAAAATAAAGGATCAAAAAGGTTCACAATCAAAGCTAAAAACATAAGTGTGTCTGTTATAGGTGAGTGAGTTATTGAGAAAACCCAGAACTGGTTGGGTCATTATACCAGCACGAAATAATTATAAAAATAACGATAAAAAGTTTATTTCTGTGTCGAACCATGTAGCTTGGGAAAAGCCCATGCTAATAAAGGGACACAGACTAATACAAAAACTTAGACGACTAAGATATCTACACTAAAATATGAATAATACAAAATGTAATCTAAATTGTATTAAAGATGACGCTAAACGATATAGGCGACTATCGATGGCTGATCTTAAGAATTTGGTCACTTAAGTAGTTCAGTTGCATGTAGATAATGCTGATAAGATAGGTTTTTTATTTCATTTATTGAGGTTAAAGCAATCTTTGGCTTTTTTTTAAAGGTCTTTTATTTTTTGCCGACAGGCATTTCTGTTAGGTCACTTTATGTGTTCCAATCATTTATTGTTTTTAGCCGTCAGAAAGGACTTCCACCCGGTAATTAAAATTAGTCTGATTAAAATGCATTGTCTAATTTGTAGATTGATGATAGTGAAAGTTATGTGCCAAAAGTTAATTGCCTTCTAGGGTATATATATTATGTGTGTACAACAAAGCCGATTTGTTTTAATTTTTTTACTTGTTTATTCAAAGTTCGACCACAGGTTAATGTTTCAGGAGCAAGCAATCTAATCAGAGAAGGAGACACTGTAACTTTGACTTGTAAAATCATTCAAGGTCGGCCCCAGCCACAGATAACCTGGCTTAAGAATAACTCTTTTAAAGGACACAACATGTCTCTCTCCTTTAATAAGATAACAAAGGAAGACGCAGGTCTGTACACTTGTGAAGCAAAAAATCGTGGAGGAATTTCCGCTGAAAATATCTATATTTCTGTTAAAGGTAAGTTTTCAGGTCTAAAATTGCATTTTAAATCATTCAGTTGTGTTAGTTTCTGCCGATTGACTTTGGATTAAATGCTGTGGGTTTAAGCGCTGTTAAGGGTTTGTAATGATTTTTCGGAGCTTGATTTATAAGCGACGAATCGCTAGTGGTTTGCGATCATTCACAAGTTCAATAGGAAGTATTTTCTCCCAATTTAATGTGTAGTCAAATCCGTCTTTAGTAAACTGAGAAGTGTGGCGCTTGCTTCCAACTTGTAATTACTTAGCTTAGTTATATTAAGCGGCTGCTATTTGGTAGTCATTGGCTGGAGCAATGGGTTGGAACCAAAACAAAACATCTGCCATAACGATATTTGCTCTGTATCTGTTAATATTATCTCATCGTGACTTTCATATTAAATTTTTTTTTGTAGTTCCACCACATTTAAATCCTGAACTCAAGAATCTTTCAGTCCCACTGAACTCCACATTTGAAACAGATTGTTTTAAAAGGGCTGATCCTCCAGTATCAGTCAATTGGACCAAGGATGGAAAATCTCTTGGTAACAACAACACATTAGTTATTAAGCGTGTGACGTTTGATGATGAAGGTCTCTATGAATGTGCTGCTAAAAATCCGTTCGGAAAAGACAAAACCTCTTTCTGGATCGATGTTACCGGTAAATCAAATTCTATCTACCTTTGGCATCTTGACAGGTTTTCACCCTCTCGGTAGTTTTAATCAGCTTTACTGGAGAAAAAACTAAATGCCTTTTCAACATTCTTTATTTTTATTTTCATTCCTTTGTTTATAAATTTGTCTTCGATTCGGATACCTCTGTAAGATGAATATCTAGATAAGGAATGGACGCTCACCTTAGTTATGTTGAAATAGACTAAAGTTTTTTTTTATGTTATTAATATATCTAGGGATCTAACTTACCCCTTTGAAATGAGATATCCCTATCTATTGTCAGTTATAGTAATCCGGTAATATCTCTAACCTCAGAAAATGCATATAGTTAGCAGACTCAAAAATCGTCTCACATTTTATTACTGCAAAATGACCCGTGGTTGTCCAGTTGTAACTTGTGAAGCTTGATTGAAGATCAGTGGTGACCTTTTTATTTTCAGTGTCTCCTCAGATTCTATTGTCTCCGATAAACCAATCTGTCACTGATGGGGACCCAGTCAACTTTACTTGCCGTGCCACAGGTGTTCCAACACCAAACCTGACCTGGACATTTAATGGTGGTAAACTTCCATTTGGTATTAATCAAAACAATTTAGAGGGAGACTCATTTCTGGAATCATTTCTGGAAATGCAGAAAATAACAAAGGAAATGGAAGGAACGTACAAGTGTACAGCAGAAAACAAAGCAAATAGAATAAGTTATTCCATAACACTTCAAGTATTTGGTAGGTCCAATAATTATAATGATTATGATGATAATATTAATACTGAAGTGGATGATGATAATCTTAATTTTAATAGCAATTAAAGTGAATATGGTGATGGAGCCAATGTAACAATAATAATCAAAGATACCTCCCTCGCAAAATAAGAGGTGAAAATGGTGGCTAGAGGTTAAAGGTTGCCCAAAAAGAACTGACAGCTTGTTAAGAATGAGATGGAGTCTCGATACCCCTGGAATTTCTTCAGGACAATTGAGTCAAAGAGTGCAAATACAAACTTGAGTGTAATGTACCTGGGAAAATACCGTAACGAATTGTGGGAAAGATAATCGTTGCGCATGCACCATTTATCAGTTGTTTAAGATGACTCTTCCATATAATCACTTTGTGACATTTTTTTATTGTCGCTCTGATCATTTTGATCTCAAAGATTTTGATTAATGCAGTGATTTGTAGATTTGCATGGGGCAATATGTCTATAAGAAAACACAAAGGGCTGGGTCTCGGTTTACGAAGAAGCATCTTGGAAATTCGGTTGGATCGGGTCCGAGACACTTAGGCAAATCTTCAGAAATATGTTGGACAAGTATTTCAAACCCCCTTTGAAACCCCTTTAAAGCAAATTTCACTCAAATCGGCACGTTCTATCCCGCATGTACTATTGTAGGGTTGATTTGGGATCACTAAATTCTATGATAATTACCTTACTAAGGTGTCTTGAGTGAAGCTTTTTTTTTTTTTACCAAAACCAAGTTATGTATACATTACCTCTTTCCCTCAACACAGAAAAACCCACCGCCAAAGTGAGTCCAGAGCCATACCCAACGCTCATTCAAGGTGATAAGCTTCGGTTAACTTGCAGCGTCAACGAAGCAACAGTAAATATCACTTGGAGAAAAGATGGAGACCCAATAAAAGAAAGGGCAGTCATTGATACGCAATTGGATGAGACAACAAGTTATCTGGTTGTTGAAAAGGTTGTGGAAGAGGACAGTGGTGAATATTCTTGTGAAGCTCGTAACAGACTAGGAAATGTCGCCCGCTCCATTGTGATGATAAAAGTCAACCGTAAGCTGGCATTATTGTAGAAACAATCTGAAATTTAACAGCAATAAATCATTCGACTAAATGGAACCTGAAACTAACCCTAACCCTTAAGCATGCTATTTGCTGTTTTCTGTTTGTTTGTTGCCTTTTTGTTTTTGTTTTTTTGTTGTTTTTTTTCAATGTGTAAATGCGTGTTTGTATATTGGGTCTAAGCCTGTAATTTGGGTCCCCTGGCCTGTTAGATGCCCAAATAAGTATCATCATCATTGTTTGTTTTCTATTTGGCGAAGGGAATTTCTCTGCATCCATTTAACAAAAAAATTTCCCAATTCAAAACAACATTCTAGCCAGGTCTTCTCCATATAGTTCTGATTTACCTTTCTTTGAATCTCTGCCATAAAACAGTAGCCATTTCTTATGAGCCAGCGAAGCTCTAGCGAAAAGTAGTATCCAGAGGGTCTGGTTAATACTTGGTAACAATCTCTCCCTTATCATCACATGCACTTGCTTTTTTTATTTGGCTAAGAACCATGTGTTTAACTTACACCAACAGCTGTGAGTCCATTCCTAGTGTGGTATTATATTTTTGGATCAATGGCTGCTCTCATTGTTATTTTGCTCATGTGTTGCTATTTTTGGAAACGTCGAAGGACAGGTAAAGCTCGTTCTTCTTATCTTGTTTTGGGTAGTTTTTCCAGAGAATTGTCATGTGAGAAGCAAAACATAGGACCAGTTTATGTTTACTTTTACTTCACCTCGTATTTCAATTGTTCTCCTCAAGTCATTATTAGGTAAATATTAATACCCTTGGTTTGCAGGAAAAAGAATACCTTTGAGGCACAATTGGCATGTTTCTACTGCTTTTTTGTCTTGCGATTTATCTGATTTATAATCTTCTATTAACCACTGATTAAAGCGCATAAAATATTTACTTAAATATTCAAATTAAGGGAGAACTTTTTTTCCTTCTTTTCTTCTTTCTTTGATTTGCCATTTGGACCTACAGCAGCTGCCATGGCTCTGTAAGTCGGTTAGTTTGCCTTTTATTTATTAAATTGAAATTTTTTTTTATAAAAAAAATTGAAGTTGGGGTTTAAATCTTGCTGTCATGTCAACGAGTAGTTCTACAACTTTAGTTTTTCTGCACAAGAAAATGTTATTTTTTCATCTCTAGAGTGATTATATCCTTCCATAAATAGAAGAATCCAGGCAAATAATTAAGAAACTCAAAACGTTTGCGTAACTTCTTTTTCCTTGATCACGTATACTTTGATTTATGATTAGAAATTGTATGATTTTCATAGAATTTAGTCCTAATCAAGGGGAAGCAGTTGAGATGGAGCTGTTGAATGTAGAAGTGGATGAATGGGAGATTGAAGGGAACCGTGTCCTGCTTCAAGAGGTCATTGGGCGAGGGGCATTTGGAGCAGTGTGGAGAGCTCTCCTTATTCCTCCAAATGGGAGACCTGGAAATCGCACAGTTGCCGCTAAATGCTTCACACGTAAGATCCATTCAACTATATTTTCTCAAAGCACGTAGATAGGTACTTTCTGGCCAAGGGTGACCTGCTTTGTGCTTTCCAGTGATCATTTATCTCAGGTAGACTAAAGCCCTCTAAGAGATTCATGCAAAGTTACTTTTTATAATAACAGTAACAATAAAACAATAGAGGCATCAATAGCAATAAAAAATTGGAGGATGGTAAACATGTGCCACAATTGTGAGGCAAAGAAAATAGGAATTCCTCGAAAGGATTCGCTCGCCGATAGGTTCCATTTTTGCAGCTGTGAGCTCCACCAACTGAGCTTCAAAGACCTCTTAAGATGTGAGGTCTAAATCCTTACCCAAAGTTTTCGCTTCTCAAGCACGAGAAAATTTGTCAACAAGGATTTTTTCCCGGCTATAAAAATATCCTTTTTATTGTAGCCACTGCAGGGGAGGAAGGAAGAAAATGTTTGATGAGAGAGATCGAGCTGGGAAAAATTCTCGGTGAAAGTAATCAGCCAAACATTGTGAAGTTCATTGGCTGTGTCACAAGACAAGGTACATACTAAGTTTAAGGCATCATTCTTATTATATGCAATAACATTTCAAATGAGTATGAGAATGTTAGCTTGTTTGTTTGTTTGTTTTTTCTTTTTTTTTTACTGATCCGTTACTTTTTTTCGTTATTTTAAGTTCATCCAATGCTTATCATGGAACATTTGCCGTGTGGTGACCTGCTTGGTTACATGAGAAAATGCCGAGGAATTAATGATCGGTATTATCTTGGAGAAGGAAGGGCTCAAAATTTGAACAACTATGACCTTGTGCTATTTGCCAAACAAATCGCCGCTGGTATGGTATTCCTTGGATCAAGGGGGGTAAGTAACTAAAATGCTTCTACATTTAATTTTACCGCAGAAATACTTGTTAGGGATTGTTATATCTTTTGAGTTGCTTGAATATAGATATATCTGCATTATATGAATTTTTTCGGAAGCAGGCTTCATATTTTCAATATTTCTCAAGAGTTCCTTTGGTATTGTAAGTGGGTCACCTAATGTCGCAATTCTGTCGGTATATGTTTGGTCTGTAATGAACACCCTAGGAACAATAGTTCTTACAACCCATGCAAACGTCTGTATAATTTTCCCTCTGGTCATGGTAGATCTCACAAAAGATATGCATTTGTTAGCAAGTTTACATTTTGGATCTTTGTCTTTGGGTAGATAATCCATCGTGACCTGGCAGCTCGAAACGTCCTCCTTGATAACAACTATGTGTGCAAAGTGACCGACTTTGGCATGGCATATCAAAACTTCAAATATGGTCATGGAAATGCCAAAAAGGTAAAAGATCGTCTTTGTTTTATCTTTTTTCCGGTGGCACTTGCAAACAGATTCCTAAGGTTAGCTCTAAATCTGCTTCAAATTGACCTTAACTGCCAACTGAGGATAGCTCCACGTTCTGCCATGCCACAGAATACAACTGAGTTAGTTGACTTTATCTTTTAAATTTATGACATTTGCTAAATTTTGACACTCCATAAAGTCTCGGAAGAGGTGCACCACCCACCTCACGTTTATATGCATGTCCTTTGTTAACTCGCCAGTATTATAAAACTTATTTTTAAACAAACCTGTCGTTGCAGGGCTGTTTGCCAATCAAATGGACTGCACCAGAGATTTTGTTGGGAAATTTCGCTGGACTTTCCACCTTGAGTGACGTGTATGTATGATGTATATTTTTGCATTGAGCAGGCCATCTCTTTGGTTTTTGTCTTTACAAGCTCACATAAAGAATATCTCGGCAATACTTTTTTGAAATTTTTTCAGGTGGTCTTACGGAATCGTTCTGTATGAGATAGTTACCCTTGGTAAGTCAAACAAATATTTATACTTCCCATGTGTGGAAATGCCGTAGGTATCGTTTCCGGAACTCGTTAGCAATGTCAATGCCTTTAGGACCCAATTGGCAGACGTTAGTTTGATGAGCTGTAGCAGAAAAGCTTGTTGCACCAAAGTTTACGCCAATGATGAATTTTGCTCAGCTTGTCGAAGTTTCATTCTCTGTAACTGAGAACCGTTGTTTCAGGACTTTCCTTGCCCTGACTATCACTCAAGACGAGTAGCATTTTGTGATCGACTTTAAATGACGAAAAACCTTTCAAATTACTTGGCAGAAAAGTGGTAATCAATTACATAAAATATAAGGCTAGTAAACATCATGTTTCGAATGCTACGGTCAAGCACTAGAAGTGGATCTCTCTGATTTAAATCTCAACATTTTCAAAGGAAATATTCGGGTATATCACGGCCACATTGTTTATTTCTTCGCAGGAGGAATTCCATATGAAGGATGGTCAGAAGGGAATGTGGTTGCACGAGTCACACATGGATACAAACTTCCAAAGCCCGATCATGTTGATAATAAACTGTGAGTCTTGCCTTTCAAGTTGCCATGTTCCATTTTAAATCACCCAATCCCTCCAACCCCGTAGAAAAACATATTCTCTTGTCTAATCTGGTTTCTTCTTTCGTTACTGAACTCTGCTAAATGAAACAAAGTTAACGTTGGTCACCAGTTTGTTCAGTCAAAAATTGTCTTTTCACTCAAGAATATTGAAAGATGAATTTTCAGCTATTACAGCCAGACATTTCTTATCATTTTTTTTAGAGGGCTCTCTTAAGATTTCTTTAACGGTTGATTTTTATCACATATTACATAAACCACAGTCCGGTATTGAACATCATTCCCTTATTCCAGGTATGCTATAATGAAAAGGTGCTGGAATTTTGACCCCGACTTTCGTCCTCCCTTTGAAAGTCTTCGAAAAAGAATGGATACCTACCTTCGTGAAGAGGTTTGTAGCACGATTTGAACAAGTCCTTGACGTCCTTGTAGACCTCTAAGATTATTTATTCCTCTAGAACTACTTCATAGACCATTGCTCTTTCAAAGTTGATTTCAGCAGATTAATGAAAGTGCTTTAGGATTGTATTGGTTTCTTCTAACTACGCCTAGGGCCGCTTGCGGGAATTTCAGTGCCTTGAGCTTTCCGTTTGACGGCTCTTGCTTTTTGTTACGTTTCTTACCATTTGCCCCAGCCTATTGATGTTTTTTTAAGTTTTAACCCACTTAAAGATAAAACACGCCAAGATGTCCCATGCCCACGAACTCATCTATCGCCATTCCTTCTACCCTTCCCGCTACTTCCCTTCCAAACTGACTGAGCATCTACATTCATAATAAAGGTTGATGGGAGAGTATAACAGGGTAATTTGGTATTTTCAACTGAGTTGATAACGTAAATTGGCCACCTTTAAGTCTTAAAGTGACAGGTTATTATAGTCAACTTACTGGTGAAGTCAGCAATTTGTGCCTTGCTGCAGTAACACAAAACGCAGAAGTATTTTGCAGCAGCTGAGTTAATTCCGTAAACCATTGCCAGAACAACATCAGAACAACAGTACCTGCCAAGAAAGGAAAAAAAAGCAATTAAATCAAATAACATGATGAACTTAAAAAAAGTTAATTCAGTAATTGAATGTAGCAAGATGGATGAACATAGGGCCTAAACTATTTACCTATGTACATGATGAATGTGGCTTTAAAACCTCACAAACTTTTGAGTGTAACTTATCAGTGAACGTCAAAAAATCAACTTACCATGTCCCTGAGTAGTGAATTCCATCGATTGTCAAACCATTCATCTGGAGCTCATTTACCTGTTCAAATGTTGCACCCAGGTAGATTTTGATTTCTTCATAGCCTTCTTTTCCTAAAATTACTAATTATGTAATGATTTCAGTGAACATTCAGAGAAGTGAATATTTACAAACGTTAGGAAACTTAAACCAAAATTTCACTGGAGCAAAGTGATGCTATCATGTAAATATCAAGCATGACTTTAAAATCCTATTGATTTAAAGAGGGATAAGTTTTAACTAAAACGTTCATTTAGATTTTAAATCCTGACCTATTACTATATCAAAAAAAAAAAACACAAAGAAACAATTGTATTTTTGGATTCAATACCATACCATTATACAAAGCAATGGCATACAGATGGTCACAGCCATAACTTTCCTCCTCCAAGAGGCTGAGTACTGCCATAACGGTACCAATCTTGTTGCTCGTTCTCCGGCCATCAGCAGAAAATCGAAGGTTTATTTTGTTCCCATTGGCCTGCACAGCCTTTCTAACTTCTGGAATTTGTAGGAGTTGTTCTCAAATTTCACCAATGTTCCGACGTGCCCCATCTCCTTTTTTCGCCAAAACAACGAAGATATTACCAATTAAATGTTATCAAAATGCTTTTTCTGTTTTGTTTTGTTCAAGATAAACAGATCAAAGTCTGTCTCAGTCAATTGTATTCTATCACTAATTTCTGTAGCATAAAGTGACAAGGAGCATTACTCCACGTGAATGAGATGTGAGTCCATCACAAGGTCCCCTCAGTAAATGTTTTTGCCATTTAACTATCGTTTACACAAAACCGTCACTTCTCAGCCAACAGCTAAAATTTCAACTGATTCTCGTCATTAAGGTCCTTTCATTGTCAAAAAAAGAGAGCCACTTAATTCAGATATATGATATGTGATGATATATGATGAATTTCAAAAATTTGATTTTGTCTTTTTCTTTAATCTTTTATAAAATTTAGTGGCGCTGACATCCTCTGAGAGAGACATCCGCAATGCATGGTAAACGTCGTCAGAAATGAGGCCAGAGTCCTAGGCCACAAGAACATGCTGCGTAGTCTCTACCAGAGGATAGTGTATTTCTTCCTCAACATTACCAAGGGGAATAACAATTTCTTCTCCTCGTACGTTTAACTTGATCTGAAACAGATCAAAGGATGTGTTAATAAACAGTACTGAGAGGGAATTTTACAAGTTAAAAACTTGCACTCATTCCATACACTCAAATGAGAATTTTAGATCAAGTACTTATAAATTAACTATGAACAATCCTACACGAAGTTGAGATTTTCAGATATGCGTTGTCATCAGTGAGCACTCTACTGCAGTTTCAAGTCTCAAATAATCGGTTTTCAACTGTCTCTACTCTAAACGTTTTCGATAATTTTAGTACGAGTGTAAGTCCAAAATTCGTCGAAATATGTATATTCAAGCGAAAACAAATTTTTGTAGAGTGGCACTCCGCCACCTGGGGGAATGCAAGCGAGATGAAACAGTGGCTTGGTAATTATTTGCGGAGGTAACCGTATTAATAACTGAAATAAAATCAATCGGTAACTCTAACGGTGTAGCAACAAAGAATATGAAATAAGGTAAAAACGAACATACCTCGATGGGAACAAACTCATGGAGTCCCTTTAGCAATTGCACCACAAGGTTTTTTATCCTCCTCTTTTTGTTGTTTCTGGCTGCCTTTGTCAACTCGAAGAATCGCTTTTGCGAGGCATTAAACGATGCCTTTGTGCGTACTTGGGAAAGGGCGTCATTTAGCTGGACGACCAACGAGTTGTTCTGATGTTTCAAAAACTTATTTTCGCCTCTCAGTCTCCTGATTCAGCTTCGTACACTTTAATAAGTAGTAGGCGCGTTGTAAACGCGCTGGATACGGACGTAAACTTAAACTTTGAGAACATTTCTTTCGCCAAGATAAACGTGAACTATTCATCTGTTCTTCTGTTAGGTCTTTTATAGGATTGTCACAATGCTTATTCAACCATATTCCTAATGCAAGGCTGCCCTGCTGAGTTGAAAACGTAAATTGGCCACCGTAAAGCGATTGACGAAGGGCTAACACTCGAAACGTCAGCTTTTTTACTCTTTACGGTGGCCAATTTATACTTTCAACTCAGTTGTTAACACTTAATTACCTGTTTTTAATTTTTTCTGGTGTTTTCAAAGCCCCTCAACGTTAGACTGTCACGATAGGATTTCAATTGAGTTTCTTTTAGGAGGCGGTTTAGAGCGCGAAATCAAATTATGGGAGGCGATTGCGCAGTGCTTTATGCATATAAAGAAAATAGGATAACTTTCGTAGCGCGAAATTTGATTGCCCTAAAATTTGGTAGATGAGTCTGACAGCGTCAGTGACGTGATTGAATGCACGTAACCTGTTGGGCAAAAAAAAAAAAAAAAACAGCAGAACATGACTATGCGAAAAAAATATCACCTCCTTCTACTACACAAAAGGATGAATAGGTATCTATTAGATGTCGGCTTGTATAATCACAAAAAAATTGTGGGAGGAGATTAATCAGTTTTTCGTACTTACGAAGCGCGAAATTTAAATAAACTCGGATTGAACAGTCGAGTCAAATGGGAGAAATTGGCGAGTGTGTGCGACTTTTTCCACTCGCCACTGTTTTTTTAACTCCTTTCGTTGAATTGAAGTACGGAAAGAGAATGATACCCATGAAACTACACGAATTAACGACGCGCGAGGCTTCGGACGTTATTACCAGGTTTAAATCACACGCTAGAGGAAGGAGAATATGAACCTTTTTGTGGACACCAGGAGCAAAATCTTATTCACGCTGCGCGAAATTTAAATACACGCACATTAAACAATCGAGAGAATGACGATAGTCTTCTATATGATTCAACGGCGTGTTAGACTTCGGACGTTAATACCAGGTTTCACATGCTCTTATTACCTTTGCATCGCACAATGAGTCTCTAATTGAATATATCTTTCGCCAGTTTTAAGCAATATAAAGGAAACAACAGTGACATCTCTTTACCTTAGATACGAAAGCTACAGTCGCCCCACCATCTACCCCACCGTGACTATGTGCATCCTAAAAAAAAAAATCTACTAGAATCACCCCCACGGGGAGGATTTGTCTTATCATCAGTTTTGCCGATAGTTTAAATCTGCCGCTCGTATGATAATCGGAAATTTTGAAAAATCCCGCATGTATTCTAAAGCTGTTTCCGCCATTGTTCCAAAGTAGCCCTATACGGTCATTGTTAATCGTTTAATAAAGCCTGCTGTAATCTAAGCTGATCCGCTTTTCTTGATACGAGCGTTTAAAAGCTGACGTTTCGAGCGTTAGCCCTTCGTCAGAGCGAATGGCAAAGTTCTAACGCTCGAAACGTCAGCTTTTAGACTCTTTATGGTGGCCAATTTAAGTTATCAACTCAGTTGAAAATGCCAAATTACTCATCTACATTCATAACTTCCTACCTAGCGACCTACCTGCTGAAGAAAACGCATTACTCTGTGCCTTTAAAGCGAGGATCATTTCTTTGCTTTGAAGTGGTCATTATAATTTTCTTCTTGACTTGAAGTTAGAGAACATTGTGACGATCATGAAAATCCTCTTTTATTGCTTTCCCCTTTAGACATATCTGCACCTGCTCGACATGGGATCTTATGACACGACCAAATACTCCAAGGTTGAAGATCTCGGAGAGGAAGATGCCGAACCAAGTGCACGACCTCTAAGGAACGCCGCGGCAAAGAGATTAGGAAAGTGGGCCAGCGACCGTCGTTAGACAGTGTCATTTTGAATATTGCTTAGGAACCAAGCACTTTGAAGTGCATTAAGTATTAGAAGAAAATGTGTAATGGTGATAATGGTGATAATTTAAGGGTGTTATTGTGTTGTAATAAATCAAAGCTGTTTCCTTGATGAGGCACCTTTAAGTCAGTTTATTCTTAAATCGCAATTGATAAATTACTCGATTTAGATACAGCTGATTAAGTCAGGATTTTTAAAAAAGGATGTTATAAATGAGAAAGCAGCTCGTCTATTTAGATTTCTGTACTGGGCAAATTGTTTGCTACTGTTTACTGGTGAAACAATACGACTAGTTGTTAGCAATCATGCATTGAAGTGTCCCCTACTGGTGATATAGACTTAGTAAGATATTTAGTAGTTTTAGTGTTGATTTAGTCATGCACCTTTCAGTACCGTGTCCTTTGTCGACGAGATTGGTGACATGCCTTGTAATGTGGTGTTACATGGGTCGTAAATTGCTTAAATTTTGTGTCATCGGTATCAGAAAACGAAAAAAAGTGCATTGCTATTGGTATGTTTACTCTAACCTTGTTGTTATTATTAAATGCTTTTTCATAAACGGAGAGAACCGTCTCAATAGAGTGATTCTAAAATCAAATTAATCAAGTTATTATTCCAATATTTTCGACTCGTACAAGAAACAGAGAGCGCTATTCAGAGGGGTTGTGGCTGATAGACAGACCTTTGCTATGATGAAATGAACCGCTTACTTCAAAGTGGAAATGTCGCTAGAGCAAGGATGAGCGTTTATTTCTGTACATTATCGAAACACACTAAGCTAGATATAAAATTTTGTAAAACACTCTATATAATATCTGCAATAAAAGAGTAGAGGCTTACCTTATGGCATTATTCACAATGTTGTATTACTACTTAACCGGCTCCAGATATACACAGGAGAAAGAAAAACACCTAATCTTGTATCTCAGATACAACGTAATTTTCTTGACAAAAAAAAGGGTAATCAGTAAATTATTCCGATGTAAGTCCGGTGTCCTAGCGGATTTAGACCCCCAACAAAAATGAGTGAAAACATCATCCTTAACGTTCTAGTAGAAATAGATAATACTTTACGTTCCAGTGCGTACTAGAGATGTTTTTAATTGAAAATATGCGTATCCCCAATGCATACGAACTGGCAGCTGGAAATGACCCTTTTGACCGAGGGAAAATGCGGAAGCATTTAGTTTAATGTTTCGAGAAAGGTCGTTTTTGAACCTTTTCCGTGATAGTCGAACACCGCTAAATTTAATAAGAGACAAACTTGTGACACTAATTTATTTTGTTATTGTTCAATGCCCGAGTGTTGGGACGACATGGTACAGTGCGAGTTGTGCGAGGAATGGTTGCACATAAGCTGCGAGGGATTTAAGACTGCCCCGGAGGGCAAGTGGCTCTGTATCGTCTGCAGACCGCCAGACTCTAGACATCTTCGTAATTGTTAAGGATCGGATCCCTCAACAGTTAATAATCGTTAAAATTAGAAAATAAGATTGAGTTAGATGTAATAGTCTCCACTTCTGTTAAGACGTAGACATCAATATTGATTTTCATTTGAAAATAAGCTGAGAGTTCCAATAGTTCAGAATAGAAACATTTTTATCATCATAGGCTTTATGAACGACTTGTAGTAGGAGTAGTTACTTCGTTCTTGTTCAAAAACTGTTTAATGTTATTTAATTAGAAAATCAGAGTTATTTTTGTGACTGGACGCAACAGATCCGCTGCAACACCGGCTCTCATTGCGTCAATGGGTAATCTCAGTTCCCTGCCAAACATTAGCACCTAGGGGAGTACCCTGTAGTCATGCGTTGATACTCGCAATGCAAAGGGAACCTAAGGAAAGTGCTGGGCCCATTCTTTCTGCTCTTCTGCAATCTTGGCAATAACATCGGCAACCGTATGGATAAGTAGTTCAGGGCTGAATCAAGCTACGTAACCAACGGAAATTCCGAGACTAAAAATTTCGACTTTCGTCTCGAAGCACTCGACGAAGATGACCAAAGCGGCATATAAAGTCGTCCATGACAGATTGCCCTCGGTCGAGGAATTGGCTCATTTCTGGTGCCACTTGTGTGACACGTTGTACAATTAATCATCCGTACAGAATGTACTGACCAGTAAAAGCGTCCCTAGTCTTACGCACTGACAAGTGTCTGCACTCGTCATCTAGCTCCTTCAGCAGATCTCCCTTCAAATACAGTCAGACCCTCAACTGTAGGCTCACGTGTACTGTCTTTTCATCAAACCATCCCCACTACAAAACTCTATCCTGTGACTTCCACAAGGCCTCAGCGGCATATGCAATTAGGCGCTCCTCGTCCTTTTGCAATTAAGACAACACAGCAGCGACACAAGTTGTACTAGGGTCAGTTAATAGTAAGAATGGAAGGTCAAATCTTGGGAATGCTAGTACTGGACCTTCACAGAGGACTTGTTTCAGAGTATCGTAAAAGATTTTCATAGTCAATGGACCACAGAAAGCTGGAAGAGAGGGGTTTCAAGTGTAGCAAAATCTGGTATGAACTTTCTATTGTAACCTAACGTTCTCAGAAAAACATTCAGCTTGGAAACACGGCTCGGTGGTGACCAGGACTTCACTGCTGAAACCTTGTCGAGGTCTGTGGACACTCCTTGCGCCGACTAGTTATGGCCAACAAAGGGTACCTTTGGTGGTAGGATACAGCTTTTCACCCTCTCTGAAAGCGTCCTGGATATTTTCTGTTGAGTTCATTGCGTTACAATCTCGGAATTTGGTAAGTGATTAGGAACGATAACTTTATATCGGTACTATCATTAAAGCACATTTCGGAAAGTTTTGTTAACACATTATTAGTTTACAATTCGTGAACCATCTCTGTAATCTGCTTGGATACTTTCTTTTGAATTAATTGAGTTACACCCTCGGAATTTAATCATTAATTAAAAATGATAACAAGCACAAGTGAAGCACATTTCAAACTTTCCATACGATTTTAGGAAACTACACTTAATTAAATGCTGATTCTCGATAAAATGGCCCGGCATAACTCGTTCATTATTTGATTACCTTGTAGCCCCAAAAACCTGGCTTATGACTCTGGAGGTACCGAATTGATGCATTTGATACACAAGGCACCCTTTATGGGGGAAGGTTAGAATAAAATTGCTTCACTTCCGTAGACTGCACCCGGTTTACAGATGTAATTGCACAAAAAATTCCTATTTTTTTGTATTTAGAAGCATAGACATGTGGGTAATATGCTTCTGCTTTATTTAATTGTAATGGGTTTCTCTTAATGTAACATGTGTCCATTCCTGGAATTTCCTATCTAACCCGCGCGCAAATAATCAAATTTTGTCATAATTTAAGTGTGAGAAGATAAGAAGTGTTGCAGATTTCTTTTTCCAGATTGAGTTCAGGTGAGGAGACCAGTAAACTAGCTGATGTCATATGCTTCTCCTGAATCTTTAATTTTATCGCCCAGGTTTTTTTACAAAGCCTCTTTTACATCTGTGTGCCAGCTAATGATTAAAATCGCAGTGAATAGGTATGCCATATTTCAGCAGTTTTTTTTAATATTCCATCTTTAGTTTCTGGCATTTTCTATTTTAAAATTTGTAAATGGCATTGCTTTTTCATCTTTGAAAATAGGCACTACACATTTCCTTAACCAAAATCTGAATCATTAAGTTAACTTAATTTAAATTAGTTTGAAACTTCATTCTACACAAGAACACTTTCCTGGAGTATAACGTTATATTTATTTTCCGTCTTTCTCGTACATATGATTACTACATGTGTCTTAAAATGGGGATTTCATTATATTGTAATGATTAGAATAAACTTATGCTTTCAAATGTAAAAAAAGCGTGATGATACTTGCGATACCGCTGCAGTGCATGAGGAGCTTTGCGTCGGAAAAAATTTTATGCAAATTAGCTGGCTGCACATTTAATGTGCATCCAGCTAATTTGCATAAGTAATTCAAGCCAAGGTTCGACGCCTCTTGGTGGCATGAGGTGTTCGCTAAACATTTCAGGACATCCGATAATCGCTTCAAAAAATGTAATTATGCTCCCCTTGAATGGAATGGAAAAAACTGCAACTTCCGATGATTACAATTCTAATCATTTTCAAGATGCAACTCTACTTTGTTCACTCATTTTCCAGAAACAAGAATCCAGAGAAATGTCTCGTACAAACTTAACGGGTCTAATTCGAAAAAACTTAAAGGGCGGTACGCTAAGCTTATTTTCTCTGTAGAGAAAATACATGTCTTAAAGAAGACAACAGTAAATCGTTAACACAAGGTCCACAAATATTTCTGACCAAATGTTACAGAAACATATAACAGGAACAATTTAAAACACGTAAAACAAAGAAACTCAAAAATAGCTTAAAAAGCGGCACCGGTAAAGCTGATTTCACCTCCATGATCGAAGATCTAGGCCTACGTAAGGTTAACTCCGACAAACCCTTCTTTATACAGGTCATGGTTTTTAACTTTTAAAGTCCAGCAACTGTGTTGATTAGATAATCCAGAGAATACACATCGCTTTCAACTGATGGTCTCCTCGTTCGGTCTTCAACCTTCGGCGCAACGCAATTATTCTAAAAATTACCTTTTATGTGCGAAGGTTTCAGTTAGGAACGGCATTTTTAGCTTTTCCGAAGACATCAGTCATAAAACATCATTATTGCGTTTTAGGTCATTGGGAACAAATTCACACGTATGAATATCGTCTTACGCGACTGCCGAGTTAGGAGGGATAAGAAAAGGTTAAAAATAACCCTCAGGTATACGCTGCCCAAGAGGGTATAGAAGAGATTAAAAATAACCCTTGGGTATACACTACGCAAGAGGTTATAGAAGAGATTAAAAATAACCCTCAGGTACACACTACCCAAGAGGGTATAGGAGAGATTAAGAATAACCCTTAGGTATACACTACCCAAGAGGGTATAGAAGAGATTAAAAATAACCCTCAGGTATACACTACCCAAGAGGGTATAGGACAGATTAAGAATAACCCTCAAGTATACACTACCCAAGAGGGTATGCAAGAGATTAAAAATAACCCTCAGGTATACACTACCCAAGAGGGTATAGAAGTGATTAAAAATAACCCTAAGGTATACACTGCCCAAGAGGGTATAGGACAGATTAAGAATAACCCTTAGGTATACACTACCCAAGAGGGTATGCAAGAGATTAAAAATAACCCTCAGGTATACACTACCCAAGAGGGTATGGAAGAGATTAAAACTAACCCTCAGGTATACGCTACCCAAGAGGGTATAGAAGAGATTAAGAAATAACTCTCAGGTATACACTACCCAAGAGGGTATAGGAGAGATTAAGAATAACCCTCAGGTATACACTATCCAAGAGGGTATGCAAGAGATTAAAAATTAATCCACTACCCAAGAGGGTATGCAAGAGATTAAAATAACCCTCAGGTATACACTACCCAAGAGGGCACGAAAAATTGAATTCACACTAATTTATATCCGCTATTTGTCTGGACTCTTCCTTTTGACTGAAAGTTGAGGCATCCACCATTAACTTATATAATTATTATCCTTTACTAGTTCCCGAATGTCTTTGTCAAGCTCAGCTATTCTTGACTGACATCATTGCAATTTCCCATGATATTTCGAATAGAGGCATTTCCCGCCTAAAGTGTACGGTCGAGGGCGATTTGATTTACCGCATCGACAACAAGATTATGTTTTGAGACCTCGCGAATCCATCTGTTGGATTTCTCCCTGTCTAATTAGTCCAGTACAGAGACCACTTGAAGATATAACATGCATGTTGTTTGGTTACCTGGCGTTGAACGAACAGCCTTTGTTGGCGCGCTTGAGACCTGCTGGCGGGACAGAACGTATTGTAGTCATCGCGGAATCAACGAAACAATTCGTTCTTTGCAAAAGCTTTCGGCCTGATTTCACATTAACTTTTCGTTAGCACATACCAGGACTTTTTGGGGATGGAGATTGGATCCCGTAACTATAGAAAGCTCAATGAATAAAGGGGTAAGTTTCTAAAGAAACTGTGGTGCTGCGTCGGTGGGAGAGTATAGCAGGTAATTTAGTGTTAACAACTGGGTTGAAAACGTAAATTAGCCACCGTAAAGGGTAAAAAAGCTGACGTTTCGAGCGTTAGCCCTTCGTCAGAGCGATAGACGAAGGGCTAACGCTCGAAACGTCAGCTTTTTTACCCTTTACGGTGGCTAATTTACGTTTTCAACCCAGTTGTTAACACTAAATTACCTGCTATAGAAAGCTCAGCCGATCGATCGAAGACTTCAGCCTCCATGATAAGATCGCGCCAAGTGATTTCAATGCCAGATTTGTTGTGTTTTCGTAATTGAAATTCGAGCATAGATGCAGTATTAATTATTAGGTGAACCTTTAACTTATAATCAACAGGTTTAAGTAACCGCATAGACACCTACCAACCGCAAACGTTGACGTAATTCTCTACACCGATGACAGAAATATAGCGTCTCCGTAGAATGCATGCTGCGAATTTTTTGGGGGGCCAAAGCTCCTCATGCTATCAACTGAGCTAACAAGCGAACTGGGAGCCGGTCACTGTGTTGGTTCCAAATAAACCCGTGAAGTAGTGAATAAACGGCTGTGAGTATATGAAAGTCATATATTTGAACTGCGCCGGCACTGCACCGGTATCGCAGAGGTCATGGGTTCAAATCTCGTACAGGCCTGAATTTTTTTTCCAGGCCTTCTTTTCACTACTGCTTAAGTAGTGTTCATAACTACGAAGATCGCTTTCTTATCTACGTCTTTATCCGGAGTTCAAATATCTGACTTTCATATACTCACAGCCGTATATTCACCACTTCACGGGTATATTTTGAACCAACACATAAACCAGCTCCCAGTTGGCTTGTTAGCTCAGTTGGTAGAGCACTGCACCGGTATCGCAGAGGTCATGGGTTCAAATCTCGTACAGGCCTGAATTTTTTTCTGGCCTTCTTTTCACTACTGCTTAAGTAGTGTTCATTACTGCGAAGATCGCTTTCATATCCACGTCTTTATCCACAGTTCAAATATATGACTTTCATATACTCACAGCCGCTTAAAAAGATTGTTTGGTATGGCCGTTGTTCGTGTTAATCTTTGTAGCCAAAAAGCTACTGAAGGCACTGAACTTCAATCTTTATGTACACAAGGCACCCTCAAGGTGGAAGACTAAGGTATTCTTGGACAACAATTTTGAAACTCCTTTTTTCTTCTTTTTCTCCGCTCACGTTGCGTGTATTCGATGTTCCGACACGTGCGTCGTTTTAGTCCGCTCTTTAGTCTTGCGTTCAATTGAAACAGAGTTCACATTACTTTTGGTTGTTATTTGATAACAATAAAACTGTCCATCCTTTTCCTTCAACAAAGTTGCGTTTTCATCCCAATAAATCCATCATTACTCTTAAATGTGCATAGAAGTTTTAATCTATAACAAATTGTAGGTGACAAATTTTCTTTTTAAAATGAAATTCTTTACGAATGCCGCCAAAAAAGGTTAGAACGGGGAAATTTTTGTTCTTTGAGCCCTTCGTGAAGTGTTTTTTTTGTAGAACGAGGAATACTCTTGTCGATTGTGCCCTTCGCGCGGAGCTTTTAGAACGAGGAATGCACTTCGCGCGGTGCTTTTAGAACGACGAATAGACTTGCTGTTACATTCCTGGTAGAGTGCGGAACTTTTAAGCAACTCCTTTGATAACCAGAAAATAACTGACTTTCAGAGTTTGGCCCATTGCTGCGGGACTGTTAATAGTCTATTTCCCATAGTGACAGTTCTCTTAGCTTCAACCTTCGCTTTAATAATAAATAAATATACAAAGGTATTCCCTTTTCCCTAAAGTGGACACAATTATTACAACTATGTTGTCCAAGAAAAGGGTTTATTATTTCGCTTTCTCTTTTCGCCTTTTTTTCTTGGTCTGTTTTTTTTACCCTCTAAATACCTGAATTGCTGTAATACTGTCTAATAACTTAATCATGTCTCTACACATGGGGAAAATGTAACATACTAAAAGTTCACAATGATAATAATAGAAAACTGAAGAAACTTTCATTTTTGTCAAGTGGGGGGGGGGGGGGGGCAGTTGGAGAGGGGACCTACATTTAATACTTAGTGTTAAACCAAGTTTTCCCAGAGGACAGTGACAACAACCACAAGGTTTTACATTACACCCATATAGAACTGTAACCAGAAGTCAACACCCTTCTGCTAAGAGATAACTATAATTATTTGCTTCATTCATGTACATGTATTTACTTCTATTCACAACTTGTCTGAATGTGGAGACTGAAGTTCAGTGCACAGCTGTGCCATCAACACTGACATTATGAATGGAAACAAAATGGTCAAATCCACTTTTGATAAGAAATCTCAGATGACATGCTGATGTAACAGGAATCTACAAAGGAAAAAACATACAAATAATATCAAAATGTAAGAGCCCTACATTCACAATTAGGAGTGAATATTTGTATTTTTATACACTGATCAATTCTAAGTTTCAACAAGTCCCCCCCCCCCGAGGAACCCACAGCATTCAACTGAAAGTGCATGTCTTTCCATCAGAACACACACATGGTTCAGAATGCCAGATACATATATTTTAGACCTGAAACACCATTGAAGCAGGATTCAATTTGCTGAATTCTAAATACTTACCTTGATCTCATCTCTCTGCATCTGACCCTCTAAATTTTCATACTCTGTCACAGATAACAATTACACATTATTAATAAATTGCATGTATGTTTCATTGAATTTGTCAGTCTTAAATTCTACAGTCAACCACACTCTGCAATCAGTCAGGCCTGGGCCATGTCAATGTGCATTGTACTGTACTGTCGGTGATCAAAATCAGAGGATTATTTGACTGAATGTCCTTGCTTAAACTTGTTTTAATTATTTTGTTATCATGTTCATCATTTTTTCCTAATTGAATTTTCAAAGTAAAGTCAGGCTATCAATTGTATCATAAATGGTAGCCTTATGCAAATGCTTTAAAAAAAAAACCATTTACCTCTAATTAACCAGGATGAACAACAACATTTTCTATAAGAATTACGGTCAACTCGCCGACGGTCCAACTCGCCGACGCCAACTCGCCGACGTATAAAATCGAGTAGAAACGTCGGCGAGTTGGTCGTCAATCCAATACAACTTATTAGAAGTTAAACGATATTTAGTAAAAAAACACTGGTGAACATTGGTGAACATCAAACAGAAGCTTAAACATTGGTGAACATTGGTGAACATCACCAATGACTATAACAGCTTAAGACGCGATATTGTGCGACAACAACACCGTAAAGACTCATCATGTCAATCGCTCAGATTTTTAAACGATAACTTGGCTTTCTAGACAAGATCTTTAGTAAAAAGCATTTCTTTTTATTTGCAACAAAGTTTATAAGGATCTCAAGGCGAATAAAGGGAAGTAAACATCACCAATGACTCTAACAGCTTCAAACGCGAACGAGTTATTGTGTGACAACAACAAATGCTTTCAAAGAAAACTTGGCTTTCTAGATAAGATCTTTAGTAAAAAGTAATTCTTTTTATCTGCAACAACAACAAAAAAAAAATCTGAGCGATTAACATGATAAGTCTTTACGTGATGTTCACCAATGTTCACCGATGTTTAAGCTTCAGTTTGATGTTCACCAATATTCACCAGTGTTTTTTTACTAAATATCGTTTACTTTTCTGTATGTTTAGCTTATAATAAGTTGTATTGGATTGAAGACCAACTCGCCGACGTCTCTACTCGATTTTATACGTCGGCGAGTTGGCGTCGGCGAGTTGGTCCGTCGGCGATTTGACTGGTTACCCCTTCTATAACATATCTATGACTTCTTTTTACCTTTGTCCACAAGAGGTTCAAAGTCTACTGGTTCTGTTTTTGTGCTTTTCTCAATGCAGAGGCTTTTAACTGCAAATAAAAATTCATATGTGCTACAAAACCTTGAAGCTCCTGGTCTCTAATGAGCTGGTAACCCACATGTACCTGACTCCTCACAAAGTCTTTTCTCAATTTTTTAAATCACATTAAAAAAAAAATTACGTCTAATTTTTCACAATGTGGCACAAAAACAATGATGTAGCCCCTGTGATAAAACACAGGCATGCATAGCATGCAAGAGTTATTTTTTTGGCAGGGTGGGTTGAGATGGGACACTTTGCATACCTAATGTTTTCATTTTTGTGACAGGAAAAGAGCATAACTTTCAAAAGAACAAAAAAATATTGCATTACTTCACCATAAGAGAAAGAAAAAAATAATCTAATTTACCTGAACTCACACAGGTAGTTTTTGGTCTGTTGTTTCTATGGTATAATACTTCTAAGCAAAAATAGAATGCAGCGGTGCCATGCTTATACTGTTGTCTCCTTAACACCCATTGTTTGATTTCGTCACACAATACGAGCTATTCTTCATTGAAGAGAGAGCGCGTTGCATGGCAAGAGACCAAATAATGGTGAAAAGGGACTATGCTTTCTACTGTTCCACTACCAGAAAGAATATCAAAATTATTTGTCTAAAGTTAGTTGCCGTAAAAATATCATTCTATGTAATTTTACTGCAAAAAGCAAACTGAAACTCTGTTGGACAATGCTGTTACTATAAATAATGAAATGCAGGTTATTTACATGGAAATGACACAAGATTGAGCAAAGTCTAATGTGGCAAAATGGAATTTGATGGGTGGTACAATTCAAGCATGTGAAACATTGCCTACTGTTCATGTAGAGCAATGATTGGGCATGTTCTGATTAGATTTTGGACATTGTTTTCATGGTACGTGTTTGGCATGTGCATTGTAAGTAAAGGAGCGGAAAAGACACCTTTTAACTTTAAAAAAGGATGCAAAAAGTTAAATGGAAACCTTTCATATCACAAGAAGTCTTGACCTTTTGATGAGGATCTTACGAAGGCCACAAACCATTGCCCTTATCAAATGAGCCCAAAATATTTGATTAATGTCATTATTTGTGCACAGCCCCCTAATTCCATGACATCATTTGCAAGAAAAGCTATGATTGGTACAAGATATCAAAATGTTGTGATATGATTGGTGTAAGATATATACCCCAATGCAGCAATCTGATTGATGTGAGATACATTACATACCCTAATGCAGGGATCTGATTGGTGCAAGCAACATACCATTCCACTCGCTAACATAGATATATTTTGTTATGATAAAAAAAAAACTCAAAAACCATTAAATTGATAATGCCCATGTTACATTACACTAAACACAATTTCAAGATCTTCCACCATCATCCTCACCATTTGAAGATAGGAATTTTATATTTCCAATGCTCATTAATGCACTAAAGGTGATGATGAATTCTTGAGGAAACATTCCAGTTGTTGGCCAGAAAGTATCAAGGCTTCTATGGAGCAAAATAAAAAGACAATTAGTTCTGTTTTGGCTGATCAGGATGCAGCCATAGGAGTCACAGATGGTAAAATTTGAGACTCACAGATTACAAAGACCCTTGTTTGAAAATGCAAGAGCGTGACTATATATAATTTAAGCTGCTTCACATGACCTCTCACTTTGGCTGTAAGACTTCTAGATGGGAACTTGAGTTGATTCTAAACAAGCTTTTTAGCCATAAACAATTGACGGCTCATGATCTTAAAGGTATCATTCATCAACCTTTGCCTTAGAGTTTTCCATTTACTTATTACTGAAATGTACTATAATAAAGTAAAACCCTGCTAACTTGAAACCCAAACTAACTCAAAGAAGATCCAATTTTCCCTGGATTTGACCCTAACTTTTTCTGTCATTGGTAAAATTTCCACACAGCCCCATACTGTTGTAAAACAAATCTGTTTTCCCAATGGCAGTGTATAGTTTTAGTCATTGTTTTCTCTATCCAAGAACTGAATGCATAATGTAGTATGGGGCTGTGTGGAAATTTTTACCCTGTCATTAAATATCACCTAACTTAAACCATTTTCTGTTTCCCTTTGGAGTTTGAGTTTGCAGAGTGCTAACGTAGTTTTCAACTTTTGTGTGACATTACCAAGTACAGATAAAAGCAAGCATCTGCAAATATTGCGTTACTCTTCATACCTTTCTTTTCTTAAATCTTGCTTTTTCAGAATAAACAGATCATGCACATTCAAGAGGGCCACGGGTTACCATGACAACTACTATCGTAAAAATGTTCACGATAGTACATGTAGAATGATTAGGTCATGGTCTACCAGTTTAGCAATTCCAAAAAGCATAGCATTACTGGGTTTCAGATAAATTGGAAGTGGTCTTGAAATATCTTAATTGTCCTTATCAAAACCTCAATTAACTTTGCTTGTTCGAAATTTGAAATGTTTGGCAAGATCTTCACCGAACGTAAAATACTTACCCATCAATGATATTTTCTGGTGGATGATTTTCATCAAATGATGTAGCAAGGGCAATAGTTGCTCCAGCACTACTTAAAGCCACGTCAAACATGTTTTTAGTGCTATTTTCTGAGGAGGAAAACCCTCTATCTCGCAAGTGAGGGGTTCAAAACATTTCAAAATCGATTGCCCCGGAGAATACTGGGCCGAGCTCCATGCTGAATATGCGCAGCTTGGTTTTAATTGCTGACAAGTAGCATACTCATGTTCAAGATGGCGGACGTTTCATGCAGAAATTGTTGCTGGCATTGATAAGAAATGTTTCCACTAAATACGAAACAATTTTCTGCTGCATTCCTGGATGTAAAGCGTAATAGTCAAGGTTATAACGAGGAGGTCAGTTCAGTCGACAGGGATGCAACCAAGAAACTACTGCGGCCCTTCCATATTCCCCAAATCGGGCCTTCTTCTATTCCACAATGTCATCATCTTGGGACCATGATGTGGAATTTCATGTGGAATTGTGCGAGAAGAGAATGTTATCCACCCGCTCATCATTTGGAATCAAGAGAAGACTCACGAATGGAATCGCGAAGAGCACCTGAACAATCATGTTCTTCAGTTCTTCCGGAATTTGAATTACATCGCGTAACTTCAAAACATAAAGCACGAGAAGCAAACGAGCGACAGAGTGCGGAAAATATTGAACTTTCAAGACTAGTTAAAACACAATCTTTAAACAAGACCTCTTCTACAAGAAGTACTGATTCTTCTCGAAACAATGTTTGTTGTGTGGAAGCAGAACCACAAAACAGAGGTATCCTCCAGCAATCTAGCTGTGAAGAAGCAAATGTTTCCAATGAGACTTTTGTTAATAGCAAATTAAGTAAATCGATAAGAGCATCCCACTGGGATAGTGACATGAAATCTTCAGAGTCTGAACATTGTGTTGTCTCAGATTATTTTGACAGAGAATCAAAGTTAAGTCCAACTTGCAATGTACTAAGTGAGTTGGAAACCAAGGTGGATGTTAATGGTATATATGGCAGAGAAAGTTTACAAAGCGATTTGGTCTGTAATGGTGATTGGTGGCTTGACAGTGACAATATTTCAAACCTCAGGGATTCTACTGCACCTCTCATTCCTCATGCATATAGCATTGAGGAGGGTGATTTTGTTGGCAAAAAGAAATTTTTAGAGAGATTGCTTGAGACAGAGGACATTCAAAGAATGCTGAACACAGTGATATTGATCTATGTGGGAAGATTTCCATTCTGTATGGCATCCAGGATACAATAGTGTCAGTGGTTGCTAGTGAGGTGGTAGGAATGTATGATTATATCTCAGGAGCTGTGTATGGATTGAAGGGATGCTGTCGTGATGAATCTGAATATCAGTTAAAGGTAATTCATTCTAGTAACTAGAAGGTTGGTGGCTTTGATGAACTAATATAAATGAATTGGTTGTACTAGATTCAGGTTAAATATAGAACAGGTTTCTAGTTAAAATGATGGTCAGTGTCTCTTGTCAGTGTTCAGTCAGTGTTGTGTGGAGACTCCTTTTTAAGAATGGAAAAATGACGCAACTATTTGCCTTGGTTTAGAGGCAAGTAGAAGAGTTAGGCTTGAAACTTTTTCCACTGACTATCCTTTGACAGGGACATAAAATATTTAAAATTGCCATTTTAGCAGGATATGTTACAGTTGCAATAATATGTATTGAACAATCTAGATGAACTGTGTTCAAATGAACACTTAAAATTTATGACAGATTTCTACAATTCAGGAATGTTTGGAAGAGATATTTGAGCAATCTGTGGATATAAAAATGAAAAAAAAAAAATTGTGAGCAGTGCATAAGCCATGCAAGGGCATGAGGCAAAAGCAAGAAAGAAAGGGGAAGCTAGGAAAGGGTAAAGCAAGGAATGGTGTGCCACTGTGCCTAGAGATTCCAGAAAATTCACTTAAATTATTTCACAATGGTCCATAATACAGGTTAGCCCCAGCATTTCATTAGACTTTCCTGACAATTTTTGTTTACTTACTTATACTCCTGTAATTATGTTATTATTTTGGTTGATTTTAGTTGATTTATCTTTTCAATCCAGGTGGAAGGGAAGTGTTATTTCAGGCAGGTCCTGAACATCCTTGGCTGATCAAGTCCCACACCCCTGTGCACAAGCTCTGGGCCAAGAATTCTTTCAGAGTGGAATCATACCTAGTGACTCTGATTTCAGGATTTACAGGGACTTTGGCTAAGTACCAGGTATCTGAATTATAGACTGACACCTAGAGACTGATTGAATGACTGAATGACTGACTAAGTGAATAAATGACTTATTGACTGATTGTCTGAATGAATGATTGAATAAACAACTTGATGGCTGGCTTACTGAACAACTTACTGACCTACTGACTGAATTACTCTTTCACACTGACAGATTGATTGACTGATTGAATGACTTACTGACTGACTTACTGACTGACCAACTGAATGAATGAATGAAATGCTCCTTAACTGACTGAATGACTGGTTAGTATTTGATCAATTCATTATTCACTGATTACCTTATTGACTGATTGATTGTAATCTTAGTGAAAATCTCTTTTGCATTGAACCAATCTGGTTAGTATACTAATAATTTTCTGATGTGTAGGAATGGACCTTCCCTATATTGCCAATGGTTATGTTTATCACACAAATTACGATACACCAGCTGCTGTTACTCCAGGCTCTATTCAGTGTGCTGGTGATAACATACTGGCTTTGGTCAAGAGCATAGCTAATTCACCATTTCTGGCTGACCCTGGAGAGTATTGTCATGGTTCCATGGTGTTTTTTGACTTTCTGGGAATTTTTGTGGTACATTACCCTGAAAGAATTGGTTTGGTGATAAATCTGACATTGGCTTTTGTGGCAGTTCTTTGTCTTATGAAAAAATTCCTTCATTTTCCAGCAAAGAGAACCATCTTTGAAGAGGGTAAGGCATAATTTACAAGTAGATATCTATTATTAACATTCTACATTTTCTAAATTTTGTACAATGAGCTATGGAAGCATAGGCCCTAGAGCTGACCTGAGTACATCTTCTTTTCCATGTGTGAATTAATCATTAAAGTTTTGTAGTCTAAAAAAAAATTGAAGCTACACAAAATAAACAAGGTAACAGTGGGTGGTTTTTTTTTCATCCACTCTTTTGGAGCATTTCGTAAAATGTGATTAGGTCATTTTTGGGAATGGTAAGCTTTTATATTCTGTTCATTGTTTCCATGCATGTTGGTAAAATTGTCAACATTTTCAATTTTCTGTAAAGCCAGTTTCCTATTGTGATAGGAGAAATGGCATAGACGAGGGGTGTCATACAATTTTTACAAGATTGTGGATCTTAAAGTACACTGCAACTGAAAGCTGTCCTTAACACTCTTTTTAACTGTTGTTTTTCATCAGGCAAAGTATTAAGACTCATATCTGGTATAGGAGACCTTATCATCTCTCTGTTCATCCTATTTCTCTTGAAGTTTGGAGGAGTTAGGAGTTAGGAGTTTGACGTCTTTATGCCTATTATGGGTCGAGCTGGAACACAAACACCCCCAGATGTCTTTATAAGTGTCCTGTGTGCCTTTGGAGTTGTGCTGTTGACTTCTTATATGGTGAGTGTGCTCAGTGAAATTCGATCAATTTGCTGATTAAATACTGTTAAAATTCTGATAAGAAGATAATTAAGGGAAAGTTTGTACTTGAGCCAAGCAACCCCCCTGAATGTGATACCAGTCCATCACAAGGATAACCCCCCCAGAATTTTATCAGGCTTCCCTGACAAATTTGGTTGGTACCTTCTCTTAATTCTGGGCCCAATTGTTTGAAAGGTGATTAGTGCTAACATACAGTGTAGGTTTACATTAATTTTATTCTTGGTTTCTTTATTCCTTTATTCCTAATTTTCTCTATGCTTTTTAGAGCATTCAATCCTCAAATTGTAGACAAAAGAATTCTCCTGAATGATCTGAAATCAGATTTCACACTGACCCTGGGTTATCTTAACCCAGCTTTGAACAACTGAGCCCTGGATGGAGAGAGAGAGAGAAAGAGGGGCACTGAGAAAGTGGTATGTTTCTTGCTCAATAACACAACCCAATGACCTGGCCAGGTCTCAAAGCCAGACCTCCTCTCAACTTAGAGTTCAGCAAGCTAACCATTTGGCCAACACATCTCCCACAAAGTTCTAATATGCTTGTATAATTTAAATTTACCTTTTTTCTAGGTTAGCATTGTGTATGTTCTGGGAAACCTCAAGCTTCCAGCCATATTTCTTCTGTTTGTTACCACTGTAGGAATGGTTATATCGCTCTCAGGACTGTCATTTCCTTACTCAGCCATCAATCAGTGCCCTAAAAGGGTGTTCTTTCAGGTAAGAAGATATTCATTCAATCATTACTTACACAAACTTTTGTTCTCACAAGTGTCTTTTTCCTGCAGGATTGTACCAACTGTTTCAGCTAATTGAACTATTTTAACTAGTTGCACTAATTCAGCTAGTTTTTGCATTTTGTCTAGTGGAAGCAAATCAGCATGTTTGACTATTTTAACCACTGAAACAAATTTAGCGTATCTGTGCAATTTGTTTAGTTTAACCTACTCAGCTAATTTGACCACTTTTACCAGTTGAACTTATTCAGCTAATTTGTGTGTTTTGTCCAATTTAACTGTTTTAGCCAATTTTGGTGGTAACAAGACAATGTGAACAAATACATAGTATGCTAGTCTCCAGATTGAAGTGAGCAGAATGAACAGACAAAAATTGTATTCAGATCAGAGGTTCTCTTATAAAAAGTTTAACCCTTTACACCAGATCTCTTTGCATTTCCTATAGTACTGACAACGAGAATTTGTTTGACAATCAAGAACTTCCTTAAGCGATGATCATTTCCTTTATTCTTACAATGACCTGAAACAACTTCAAACATAGTTGAAGCCTTTTCTTTTGAAACATGTCTCAACTTCCCCAGCCAGGATTTTCTGAAAATGCAAGTTGCAAAGCCCTGACACCATGCATGCTTGCATTTTAATTATTCAAGCCTTCAGCATAGATTATTATTTTTTGAGGGTTCTAAAATCATACAGGAGTGTACATTTTCACAACCATTTATTCAACCATTGAATAGTGGATATATTCACACCACTGATGACACCAACCAAAAGATGTTTTTCAGTCAAACCTCTTATCAACATTTTTTCTACATGCAGCACACATCAAGAACATTTTACAATAATGCTGGTGAAGTGGTTCAACAAGATGCAGGTGCCTGGATCACTCCACTGGACTATCTTGGCATACAGCCATTCAGTGATATACCCATGTTTAAGAAGGCTTTGCCTGCACCTCAGGACGGAGTTTATGGAGGTTTTCCTTATTACCTGCCATTGAGGCATCTCATGCGGTATGTGGTACTTGCTCATTCAATGTTTATCTGTTGGTCTCTGGTCATTCAGTGCATGGCCAATTCACTGGAATTTCATCAAAGAAAAGTATGGAATAGAATACAAGCTGTCAGGCTTTGCTAACTTAATATGTTAGGCAAGTTGGGCAGAAAATACACAGCCTTGCTTTAACTCTGGAAAGGGAGGGGTCAACAGAAAATGGCACAGAAATATTCTGGTGAAACAGTAGCTCTATGTGCCCAGATTTTCAGAGCTTGTACATCATCATGATCCAATTTTGCTTAATTAATCAACTGGCTAAAAAATGGGTACCATGTGTTATCTAAGTGTTGATCTTCCTTTCATACCATATGTGATTTATTTATTTTGCTTACCTATCCTTGAATCTTTAAGGAGCACTTTCACAGCTACTTGATAACAAAGCTAAAGTAAACAATAGGTACCATGAGCTGTTGCACTTTTTTTCTTTCACTGTTACTCCAAAATACCTATAGCATTTAGTTTGTGACATTTACTAGGTGATTTGTTATACTTGTTCCATAGATCCTATATATAGAGAAAGAATCCTGCATGAACTTAACTCTGAATTTATTTAATTACCATTCTGAATATTTAAAACTACTGTCTAGTTCAATTTATAATTCTGTTTAACTGTGAAGTGTTATATTTGCAATCAGAAAATCTTGGTATCTCCCTGGTCCTCCACCCCAAGTCAAAACATCTCCAATGGAAGTGAAATTGCTACATAGGAAGAAACAGGATCAAGTTTACTCATTTAAATTCTCAATATCAGGTCAGGTTTCTCTCTTTTAACCCTTTGACCCCTTGAAGTGACCAGCATCTAATTTCTCCTTACATTATCATGTCATGCATTCATATCTCACTAGTGTCTGACTTCTCACTGCCTTAGGTCCTGATCACATGGCTGTATATGTATCACCTGCTAGTGACGTAGATTTGCTGACCTCTTCCCTCGGTCCCCTTTTACCAATTCAAGATGGTGGAGACAGAGTTGTGTACTTTATTTACTATTCTCATGGTACTGATGTGGGGCCCTGGGAACTATTGCTTGAGCTTCTGGTGAGTCGGACAATTACAGTATTAATCATGCTTGTGATTAACAAATCAGACTCCCGCCTTGCGGTCGTCTGATTTTGTAAGCTTCTAGAATGTTCCAGAACATTTTGTTAATATATATATATATATATATATATATATATATATAAAGACTCACTTATGTGGTAGTTGGGGTAGTTATTGTTGTCAGAGCAACGACTGTATAGAAAGCTATACCAAGAGAGTGAGCAGGTCCTTATTATAAGTGCTATGGCATAAGTGTTTCTTCACCTGCGGGAAAATATGAGGCCTTGAGTAACACAGCACCACAGTCTTTTAGAAATGTACACCTTTTAAACAGTGCAAGACTCAGTTTTGTTGTTATAGAAATGAACAATGCTTCATATTGTTGTTACAGAACTGAACAATGCTTTTAGGGTCATTACTCAAACATATTTCAGTTCTGACTAAATGATTGCTTTCTGTGTACTAGTCAAAGTCTTCATGGTTTTGGTGGAAATGAACACTGCATGAGTGATAAAGATTTCTCAAATTCACAAAACATTTGTGGGTCCAAAACAAGTTCATATCAAATGAACAATGCTTCATTTTGTTGTTGTCACTAGTACATATTTCTTTTCTGATCATCATCTTCATCATATTATTAGGAACAAACAGCACTTTATTGATAAAGATTTCTCAAATTCGTTACCCATTTACAGCCTGTCAGTTTCTTTTCAGTATTTGTTTCTTCGGCCAACATGACTCAGGATTTCTGGCAACAAGACTAAAAGTTTCAGGCAACTTTACTCTGGTTTTGGGCAACATGACTTTGGGCTAGTTGTCTTTTGCGTGACTTGACTTGAGCCCTGGTGAACCCCCTCCCCGACCTGACTCAAATATTCCCTTGGGCAGAGAAACATGGGTCCTGCAGTGCTGACAGCAAGCGCCTGCTCTCAGGCTAATGTATCCTAAGATTCTTTGCATTTAAATATCATTTCAGCCAAAAAGACACCTCTTGGCCAAGAGCAATCTGTTAGACTTTGCTGTGGCAGCTCATTATATTCACGGTAAAGAGTCATCTTCACCTTTCCTGAAAGAAGTCATGCAAGCTATTCCAGACTGGATTTTTGCTAATGACTGGGTGGACACATACAAGAGCTGGTCTTACACTACATAATTCCCTGTATTGCAAGAATGCATCAGTCCAAGACCTTCTAAACACTGAGGGCATAAAAGCATAGCCCCCCTCCAATATGACACTTGATATACCACCCTTCAACTTTTTGTCTTTTTATTGTATTGGTCAAGGTTATATCTCACAACAAACAATGCTCTAGGAGCTACAATTTAAGCTATAGTTTATTTAACAATTGGTTCATACGTCGGTGTGCGTTCATCGAGATATGAAGCACGCGGGAAGTTTGGAGAGCACGAAAGATGCGTAAGGGTTGCTCGAGGCGTAGCTCTAGCTTCTTGAGTGCTCTCTAAACTTCTCAAGTACTTCATATCTCGATGAACGCACAGCTGACGTATGAACCAATTGTTTTATAACATTTTCATCCCGATGGAAAATTTTTTTCTCAAGGGATTTGTTTGCTGACGTCATGAGCGTGCACAATAGGAATATGAAGCACGCTCGCGCAATTGAATTTGATTACTAGCTCTGTTCTAATATAAGAGCGCGTAAATTCAATTGCGTGAGCGTGCTTCATATTCCTATTGTGCAAGCCCATGACGTCAGCAAACAAATTCCTCGAGAATTTTGTACTCAATCAGAAAATAAAGTTCATTTACACGCATGAATTCACCTGTCAGTTTTTGACCAATCTAAGACAAGATCGTTTACAGCGTAGCGAAATGTTTTCCTGAAATAAAATTATCAACGCGCTGAAGCGTAGCAGAGCGATTATCGATTCTTTCACAACATTTAAATCATCGGGTTGAAAATGTTATAAAACAATTGGTTCATATGTCAGCTGTGCGTTCATCGAGATATGAAGCAAGCGGGAAGTTTGGAGAGCACGAAAGATGCGTAAGAGTTGCTAGCTTCTTGAGTATATACCTATATACCCCATATGTATAAGGCAAACAAAATTTCAACATTTTTTTTTTTATTTTTCACTTTGAAAACTCAGAATTTTTAGTTACATCCTCCTCGCCTGTTTGGGTCGCTATAGCATACCCCTGAAAATACCTTTGAAATGATATATACGTGGTCTAAGGGTTCATCGTTCTCGTTTTAGAAAAATTTGCCATTTCCCTAAGGCAGTAAAGGGATAACCGTTTCCGCACGAGTGATTCTTTGCTTGCGGGAGAATATGAGGCCTTGTGTGACGCAATCCAGTCAGCAAGGGGTCTAGTACTCATTATTAATGCTAAACCCCCGTCAACTTCTCCCTGACATTTTTCAAACTTTCCTGTGGATAGAGAAACGCATGTCCTACACCCTGTTCAAGCAGTTTAGTTAGAAAAATTGAGCATGATGCTAAACTGAGCGACAGTAGCGGCAGAGCGAAAAGAGGAAGGAGGTTTTGGATTGAGTTGGATAAAAGTGGAAACCTTGATTCTATTTTCGCTCTGCTGCCACTTTGTGCTGTTCACTATTGTGCTCTGTTTTACTGACCGAACACCTGGAACAGGCTAATTGTTTTCAAATTTTAAGCTCTTAACCAATTTAAAAGGGATATAGTTATCACCCCTGGCTTTTACAAGCCTTTAAAGAAAAAAGCTGAAACGAGTTGGAATTCCCCCTATTGCCAGCGTAACTGGCATTTTTGCGTGCGCTTTGATATGTTAAACCAGGAGGAGCCTTGGAAACATGTGACAAAGCCATGAGAGGCTTGGAACAGGAAAAGTGGTTTCTCTGACTAAACCTCCACTTCTTATGGGGAGCCATTTGTGCCAATATCATCAACCGCTGGTGACAAAACTCAATCGTTAGTGCTAAAATATCAATCGCTAGTGATAAAACTCAATCGTTAGTGCTAGCAACAACTCCACGAACTCCTTGTGACAGAAGAGACCTTAGGTAGACCATCCTGTCTACCTACCTCTCGCCCTGACTTGAAACCGACTCAAAGCCCGAGTCTCCGAGGATGACGCAACACGCGCTTAGCGCGAAAAGAACAACAGCACAACTCTGTCGATTGTGACTGTGCTCGGCGCCTGATGGACAGCGAAAAACCCGTTTTCTTTAACTTCTCGATGCAAAACATGAATTAATTGCAAGAAAGCCTCATTTTGGGGGGTTAGAGCATTTATTGTAAGAGAAACTCAGTCCGACTCAGGAATGATCCTAAGAAAAAAAATTGTTCATCTCTCTTGTATGCTACATGCGCCGCCGTTTGCAATTTGTACACAACATATTTTATCATATGAAAATCCGACAGTTTTTGTCCTGCGCAGTAAGCCATCAAGGCTTGATATTTTGAGAAAGTTCCATTTTTCAAGAGAAGATCGAACAACGAAATAAACCTTGCAATAATTGTTTTTAAAGCGGATGAATAGAGAGATATATGGCTCAATGTTTGCACATTATTCGAATGACTTCAAATTTGATTCCACCAGTAGTACGGTCATATGAATTTTCTCGGCTTGATGAGTTAGCAAATTTTGTAGGTATGGTTGGCTTTGTGAGCTCCGCTTTAATAAGATAAAATAGATATATGGGATCGGACGAGGTAAAAGTGATTGATGATAAATGGACTCTCCCCGGGGATAAAGTTAATTCTGTTCTCATATGGTTTCAGCTGGTTTGTGCTAATTTTAGTTAAAAGTAAAACTTGTCATTAGTAATTGATTAAAAGATGACAATCTTTTAGTAAGCCTTTTGTTCCAATAGCCTTGACAATTGGTCATCAAACGCTTGAATACGTATATGTTTTGATAGTATGCCAAAACAGTACTTGCACTTTGCGCCTTCTGTGCGCCTCTCACGCTTTAAGTTCAATAGAAAATTACTCCATCACCGAAGAAACTCAACTTTGAAAGGTAAATGGACACTTACATATTTTCTTTTTTTTGTCATGAATGCATGGTGCGAGTATTGATGCGGCCTAGTTTTGCTGGTAGTTTTTCTTTAATTTTTCATCTTTCAAATGCGAAAAAAAAACTTCAAGGAAGTTTTCCCTTTTACAGTGATGACATTTTAAACAGGCTAAGTCTTGCAAGTTTACAATTGTAGTAAATGAAAAATGACGAGTTCAGACCCGATAGTTTTAAAAGCGTGATGTATACCACTCAGTTTAAGATACGGCTGTCTAAGACAGCCGTAATCTTCACAAGAAACGTGACCAAAAATTGGTTTATTATTTGGTTGAAAGCTGTATTGAGGAAAAACATGGATAGTCCTCTGGCATCAAGTAGACTGAGCTTTCCTTTAATGTACCGTTGTTATCGACGTAAAATGACCGGTTTTAGAGAAAGTGGTGGTAAAATATTCTGTGAATTTCCATTTTTGGAAAAAAAGAAATAGGACGTCTTTCCCATATCAGTAATGATGTTTTAAAGACGTTGGCCTTGATACTTCACTTATATAATTTTGGAAAATCGGTAACGATAGGTTCTGGGAAAAGATTTCAAAAGCGTGATGTATATTCGTCAGTTTTAGACAGTTGTGTAAGCCGGAATCTTCACAGGAAACCTGGCTCAGAATTAATTCATTCTTTCGTGAACAGGTGGAGTTGAGAAAATATGTTCAGGTCTTTTGCTTCAAATAGACCGAGCTTCCCTTCATGTACCACTTTTCATAAACACAAAATGACCTATACTAGAAAAAGAAGCCGGCACCTGATAGGGAACATTTTATGCCCATTTGAGATTTTATGGATTTGAAAAGAGCTGCGAGGTCTTCCACCCAGTTTTCTAATTAAAACGCATGGTGCTAAGAACTTTGCAAATTTCAATCATTTTAAAACATTTCCCATGTAGATCGCTGGCCTACATCTGAAATAAGGTATTCTCTTTTTTTCTTCTTAATCAGGGTGAGTGATACCTGATATTCTGCTTGCTGCTCCAGAGTAAACTGACATGAAGGTAATAAAACGAAGCGATGTTTTGCGTATGCGATCTAAATTCAGAATGATGCTCCTTTGCTCCAAGCTCACCTTCTTGAAAGTCGTCTTTCACGACTTGAAATCAATGATATGTCACCTAAATGAAGAGTTAAAAACAACAGGACAAGACAAAACACATCAGAACAAATCAAAGGCGGAAAACACAATATTACGGGAGGTATTTTACCGTGGGCTTGACATTTGTCTTTAGAAAAAGCAATATATTGAGGCATGAGTGAGACATTTGGCGACAAAATGGCTGGCGATTGTATCAGAAAGTTTGGGTGATATCTAAAAAGCTCAATACACGTACATCCGAGGAAAAAAAAAGAATTCGAAGGAGTGAATATTACTGTGCTCAACTGTTGTTCTCACGTTAACCTCGACTTAGGTAAGACTCGGCTTTAATCATCAAGCTACAGGAGCATGTACATTGAATAGTGATAGAAGTGGCCCATATTGTACTCAGTTTTAGGCCTGAAACTTGAATCGGCTAAGCTTTGGGATTTTCTGTTTAAATCTAAAAAAATTTAGAGCAAACAGGTCGAAAAGGCCATTTGTCAATATTTTATACAATCAAACGTGAGTTTGTGATAAGGTGGATCTGAGTCCCTTGTGCTTTTATGACGTATTTTGCTGTGATAACCACTTTGCAGTAAAATTAGAGGAGCCAACAAGCGTGGTTTGAAATTGTCATCACTTAACCGGAAATTAACAAATTCAGTTGACGCCTCCATCTTTCAGTAAGTGTCCAATAATAATGTATTTATTTTAGTTATTTTTGTTTACCAACTCAAAACTACCAAGATTACACAAATGAAATGGATGTATGTATGAGAGTTTATCATATCGCTGGCAGAGCCCGCGGGCAATATGAGGTGAATTCTGTGTTCTAATTTCCCACCTGAGCGAGCCCATCTTGCCCGCAGGGAATTTCCCATTTTGATTCGGCGCAAGAAAGAAAATTACTTAGACAAACAAGTTTCTTAATGTTTGGACAACACCGGCGATAAGGTCGCAAAAAAGCGGCAAAAGACAGTAAAAAACAAGACAACATAAATGATAAACTTAAACGATTCTCGCAGGTTATTTTCTACAAACACAGGGGGCTTCCTTTCCAGTCTTTCGAAATGAATGAGTGTTGATTCTTAATAAAGCGATGATCTTTTTG